TGAAGGCCGACTGCATCATCGTGATCGGCGCCAGGCCGACCACCAACCATCCGGTCGCGGCCACCTATTTCAAGCAGGCCGCCAAGCAGGGCAGGAAGCTGATCGTCATCGATCCGCGCAGGCAGGATCTGATGCGCCACGCATCACACCCGGTCCAGTTCACGCCGGGCTCCGATGTCGCGCTGCTCAACGCGCTGCTGCATGTCATCATCGACGAAAAGCTCTATGACGAACAATATATCCAGGCCAATGTCGACGGCTTTGAAGCGCTCCGGGACAAGGTGAAGGATTTTTCGCCCGAAGCCATGAGCGAAGTCTGCGGCGTTCCGGCCGACATGCTGCGCGATGTCGCCCGAACCTATGCCGGGGCCGAGCGGTCGATCATCTTCTGGGGCATGGGCATTTCCCAGCATACGCACGGCACGGACAACTCGCGCGGGCTGATCGCGCTGGCGCTGATCACCGGCCATGTCGGGCGGCCGGGCACGGGGCTTCATCCTCTGCGCGGACAGAACAATGTGCAGGGCGCATCCGACGCCGGCCTGATCCCGATGATGTATCCCGATTATCGGCTTGTCGAGAACGCCGATATCCGCGCATCGATGGAGGATTTCTGGGGCCGGTCGCTGGACCCCAAGCGCGGGCTGACTGTCGTCGAGATCATGGATGCGATCCATGCAGGCGACGTGCGCGGCATGTACATCATGGGCGAAAACCCGGCCATGTCCGATCCGGACCAGCACCATGCGCGCGCCGCGCTCGCCAAGCTCGACCATCTGGTCGTGCAGGACATTTTCCTGACCGAGACCTGCTGGCACGCCGATGTCGTCCTGCCGGCGTCGGCCCATGCCGAAAAGCTCGGCACCTTCACCAACACCAACCGGCAGGTGCAGATCGGCCGGCCGGCTCTCGATCCGCCGGGTCAAGCGCGGCAGGATTGGGAGCTGATCGTCGATCTGGCGGGCCGCATCGGGCTCGACTGGAACTATGCCGGTGTCGGCGATGTCTACGCCGAAATGGCCTCGGTCATGCCTTCGCTCAAGCATATTTCCTGGGAACGTCTTCAGGCCGAGGATTGCGTCACCTATCCGGTCGACGAGCCCGGCGGGTTCGGCAATGAAGTCATTTTCACCGACGGTTTCCCGACGGCGGACGGCCGCGGCAAGCTGGTGCCTGCCGATTTGCGCCCGCCGGACGAGGTGCCCGACGAGGACTATCCGCTCGTGTTGACCACCGGCCGGTTGCTCGAACACTGGCATACCGGCGCGATGACGCGCCGCGCCTCTGTGCTCGACGATATCGAGCCTGAGGGGATCGCCGCCATGAACCCGCGCGAGATCGGCCGGCACGGTTTCAAGGCGGGCGAGATGATCGCGGTCGAGACCCGGCGCGGCACCATCCAGGCTGTGCTGCGTGCCGATCGCGAGGTGGCCGACGGCATGGTTTTCATGCCGTTCTGCTTCAATGAAAGCCCGGCCAACGTTCTGACCAACCCGCAGCTCGACCCGTTCGGCAAGATCCCCGAGTTCAAATATTGTGCGGCACGGGTGAAGCGGACGGAGACCGCAGAACCTGCGCAATAGGTCCGCCCCGTCTTTCCGGTGCGGAAAAAATCCCGCCGCACCTGCTGTTTGACAGTCGGCAGCGGGTCCTTATGGTTGGATGAGCTAGGGCCGGTTTCGACCATGCCGCCCCCCAAAGGCACCCGCCCAAAAAGCGTCCGGCGGAACAACAGGACGCGCAGACCGATCCCTGACCCCCCTATCCCTTTCGATTGCCCCAAAGGAGCAATGCATCCATGCGCGTACCCGCAAAAACGCACACCGAACACATCCATCCCGCCGCCCGCTCGGCGGCTGACGAGACGAAGAACGGCACGATGTCGCGCCGCGAGTTCTTTGCCCGCGCCACCGCGTTGGGCGTCGGCGTTGCCGCCGCCTATGCGATGGTCGGCCTTCCCGCTCCCAAGGCACGCGCCGCGACGCCACAGAAGGGCGGTACGCTGCGCATCCAGAGTGAAGTGCGCCCCCTGCGCGATCCGCGCACCTTTGACTGGCCGCAAATGTCCAACTACACGCGCGGCTGGCTCGAATATCTGGTCGAATACAACCGCGACGGCACCATCCGGCCGATGCTGCTGGAAAGCTGGACCGTCAGCGACGACGCGACCGAATACGTGCTGAACCTGCGTCCGGGCGTCAAATGGAACAATGGCGATGATTTCGTCGCCGAGGACGTGGCCTTCAACATCGAGCGCTGGTGCGAAAAGGACGTGGAGGGCAACTCCATGGCCGCCCGCCTCGACGCACTGATCGACCCCGACACGAACAAGGCGCGCGAAGGTGCCATCGAGGTCGTGGACGATCTGACTGTGCGGCTGAACCTGCCGCGTCCAGACATCACGCTGATCGCCGGCATGTCCGATTATCCGGCGCAGATCGTGCCGCGCGGCTTCGGCGGCGATCCGATGGCCGACCCGGTTGGCACCGGGCCTTACCTTCCGGGAGAATACGCGGTCGGCGACCGTGGCGTGCTGGTGCGCAACGAGGACCATGAATGGTGGGGCGAGGGCGCCTTCCTCGACCGGATCGAATATATCGACTACGGCACCGAACAAGCCGCCGTGGTTGCCGCCGTTGAATCCGATGAAGTCGACATGGTCTACGAATCGATCGGCGATTTCGTCGCGATCATGGACCAGTTCGGCTGGGCCAAATCCGAGGCGGTGACGGCCAACACCGTTGTCATCCGGCCGAACCAGGATGCCGAAGTGGATGGCGTCAAACCCTATGCCGACGCTCGCGTGCGCCGCGCGCTGGCGCTGGCCGTGGACAACCAGGTCTGTCTGCAGCTGGGCTATGCCGGGCTGGGCACGGTGGCTGAAAACCACCATGTCTGTCCGATCCATCCCGAATATGCGGACATCGGCCCGGCCGAGTTCGATCCCGATGCGGCTATGGCGCTCATGGAAGAAGCCGGCATGGCCGACTTCGAACACGATCTGATCTCGATCGATGACAGTTGGCGCAAGCCGACCTGCGACGCGGTGGCCGCCCAGCTCCGCGCCGCCGGCATCAACGTCAAGCGTACTGTGCTGCCCGGCTCGACCTTCTGGAACGACTGGACGAAGTACCCCTACAGCGCCACCGACTGGGCGCAGCGTCCGCTCGGCGTGCAGGTCCTTTCGCTGGCCTACCGGTCGGGCGAGGCGTGGAACGAATCGGGTTTTGCCAACGCAGAGTTCGACAGGCTTCTGAACGAGGCGATGGCCATTCCCGACCCTGATCAGCGGCGCGAGCTGATGGCGCAGATCCAGCAGATCATGCGCGACGAAGGCGTGATCATCCAGCCCTATTGGCGGTCGACCTACCGGCACGCCAAGCCCGAGGTGATCGGTGCCGAACAGCACCCCACCTTCGAGATCCACGTCTACAAGCTGGGCTGGGCCGCCTGACGGAAGGCTGTCACGACAGGCCGTCCGGCGCTTCGGTGCGGGGCGGCGGCTTCACTGATCGCCGTGCGTGATGATGCTTTCCGCCGACGCACGCACGGCCGCCTCGACCGTACGGAACTCCATCGCCAGCACCGATTTGGTTTCGCCGTTGTCGATCTGCTTGTGCACATCGAGATTGGGCGCGATCGTGCGTATCTCGGCATCGAACAGCGCCATCAGCCGTATCACGAAATTCGGTGCGCGCCGCGTGACGATCTTGCGGTCCGGATAGGCCTTGGCCAGCATGTCGGCGATCTGCGGAAACCAGATAAAATCCGAAACGGCGATGAGCCGCTTGCCGATCGAGTCCGGAACCGACAGCGCCTTGACGTGCATGTGGGCCACATCGCGCACATCCACCGCCGGCAGCCCGAAATTGGGCAGCATCGGGTCCTTGGCCGCCAGAACGCGCTCTACCACGCCCAGCGAGGTGCCGTAATGCGCATCGAGCGCCGGACCGAGCACCAGACCGGGATTGATGGCGGTCAGTTGCATGTCGGGCGCTTCGTTCCCGACAAAGTCCCATGCGGCTCGCTCGGCCAGCGTCTTCGACTTGCCATAGGGGTTGATCCGCGCCGAATTGACGTCGCTCCAGTCGCTGGCGGTGTATTCCTTGCCATTGTCCGGCGCGTCCTTTTCCATCACCGACACCATCGAAGAGGTAAGCACGACGCGTTTGACGCCCGCGGCCTTGGCGGCTTTCAGCGCCCGCAACGTGCCGTCGACGGCTGGGCGGATCACCTCATTTTCATCTTTCGGCTGGGCCAGCGGGAACGGCGAGGCGGTATGCATCAGCACATCGGCGCCTTCGAGCGCCTCGCCCCAGCCGTCGTCGCTGGTCAGATCGAGTTCGGCAAAGGTGAGCCGGTCCAGCGCCTGCGCGTCGTCAAGATGCGGTCGGACCGCGTCGCGCACCTCGTCGGCCCGCTTCATCGACCTGACCGTGCCGTGAACGGCAAACCCGGCATTGAGAAGCTGCAGCACGATATGCTTGGCGATAAAGCCGGATGCACCGGTCAGGACGACGCGTTGGGTCATGGCGGAGTGTCCTTTGTGTTGGCAGTGTCAGGTCAGATGGTGTGTTATTTGACGTTGTCAAGATCGACGCGGGGAACCCGCTGCCTATTGCGCACATTTGATGCAGCGTTCGGCCATCGGATCGATCTCCAGGCGCTTTTCGGCGATCTCCTCACCGCATTGCGTGCAATAGCCGTATTCGCCCTCGGCGATCCGCCGCTCGGCCATCTCGATGCGAACAAGGTCGCGCCGGCGCGCTCTTTCGGCCGCCTGGGCCATCGCCTGCTGCTGCATGGAATCCATGCGCGAAAGCCGCCCGACCGCAACCTGGTCGAGTTCGACCGGTGCGTTGGCGTCGGCCCCCATGACAAGCAGGGATTCGATCTCCGCCTTGAGTGCGGCAAGCCGCGCCTTGGCCTTTTTCACGTTCGCTGTCATAGGGGGACGATAGAAAGCGCCGAAGACCGGCGCAAGTTCGGGGAGTTTGGCCATGATCTGGCTTGTGGCGGGCATTATCGTCTTTCTGGGCATCCATTCGGTGCGCATGGTGGCGCCGGACTTTCGCGATGGCGTGATCGCCGAACGCGGCGAGGGGTTTTGGAAGGGCGTCTATTCGGCCGTCTCGCTGATCGGCTTCGTGCTGCTGATCTGGGGTTTCGGCGAGGCCCGCATGGTTGCGCCGGTCCTGTGGGTACCGCCGACATGGATGGCGCATATCAATCTTCTGCTGATGCTGCCGGCGCTGATCCTGCTGGTCGCCTCGCAACTGCCGGCCGGCTACATCAAGCGCGCCGTCAAGCATCCGATGATCCTGGGCGTTAAGGTCTGGGCATTCGGCCATCTGCTTGCCAATGGCGATCTGGCATCGCTCATCCTTTTCGGCGCGTTCCTGGGCTGGGGCGTGTGGAACCGTATTTCGGTCAAGCGGCGCGGCGATCCGGTGTATGACAATCCGGCCGTCCTTTACGACGGCATCGCGGCGGTCGTCGGCACCGCGCTTTATCTGTGGCTGATCCTGCAGGGCCATCTGTGGCTGTTCGGCGTGCCGCCGGTTGCCATGTGAGGCGGGCGATCCCACTTACAATGCGCGCAATTTGCCGGTAAAGCGGCGCAACGTTTTGGTCTTCTGGGTTTTGTAATGTCGGACGACGGTTTTTTCCGCGAGGTCGAAGAGGAGCTTCGCTCCGAGCGGCTCAAGAACTTCTGGGAACGGTTCGGTGTCCTGATCGTCGCCGGCGCGGTGCTGATCGTCGCCGTCGCCGCCGGCTATCGCGGCTGGGAATGGTACAGCGCCCGTCAGGCGTCCGCATCGGGCGACCGGTTCCTTGAAGCACTCAACCTTGCCAATGACGGCCAGTCCGACGCCGCCATGGAACGGTTGCGCTCACTCGAAGCCGACGGATTCGGACAATATCCCGTTCTGGCGCGGATGCGCGCGGCGACGGTGCAGTTGGAACAGGGCGAAACCGATGCGGCCGTTACCGCGTTCGATGCGATCGCCGCCGACCGCTCCGTTCCGGTCGCGCTGCGCGACATGGCGCGGCTGCGCGCGGCCTATGTGATGGTCGATCACGGCAGCTACACCGATGTCGCCAGCCGCGCCGAACAACTGACCGCGTCCGACAATCCGCTGCGCCATTCGGCGCGCGAGGCGATGGGCCTTGCCGCCTGGAACGAAGACCGCTTTGCCGACGCAAAACGCCTGTTCGACGAGATCCTGAACGACGAATTGGCGCCGCAGGGCGTTGCCGGTCGCGCGCAGATGATGGTCGAGTTGATCGTGGCCAGCGGCGCGGTCGCCGAAGGCTGAGCCATGTCGTTCACCATCGCCATTGTCGGCCGGCCCAATGTCGGCAAGTCGACGCTGTTCAACCGTCTGGTGGGCCGCAAGCTCGCGCTGGTGCATGACGAGCCCGGCGTCACCCGCGACCGGCGCCGGCATGAAGCACGGCTTGTCGACCTGCGTTTCGATGTCATCGACACGGCCGGGCTTGAGGAAGGCGATGCGTCAACGCTGCCCGGCCGCATGCGCGCGCAGACGGAGATTGCCGTCGGCGAAGCCGATCTGGCGCTTTTTCTCGTCGATGCCAAGAACGGGCTGACCGCCGCCGACCGGACCTTCGCCGACATATTGCGCCGCTCGGGAAAGCCCGTCGTCCTTGTCGCCAACAAGGCCGAGGCACGCGGTGCCGAAGCAGGGCTCTACGATGCCTATGCGCTCGGGCTCGGCGAAGCTGTGCCGGTTTCCGCCGAGCACGGTCAGGGCCTGGGCGATCTGCGCGACGCGATCGTTGAGGCCATCGGCGAGGAGCGGGCCCTGGCGCACGAGCGGGAGGGCGGCGCCGACGAGGCCGAGACCGACATCGCCGTCGAGGACGTGCCCGAGGGCGAAGAGCCCGCCTATGACGACACCAAGCCCTTGCGCATCGCCATCGTCGGCCGCCCCAATGCCGGCAAGTCGACGCTGATCAACCGGCTGGTCGGTCAAGAGCGCCTGCTGACCGGGCCCGAGGCGGGAATCACGCGTGACTCGATTTCGGTCGACTGGCAGTGGCGGGGGCGCAAGGTGCGCCTGTTCGATACCGCCGGCATGCGGCGCAAGGCGCGCGTGCAGGAAAAGCTTGAAAAGCTGTCGGTCGGCGATGCGCTGCGGGCGATCCGCTTCGCCGAGGTCGTCGTTGTGGTTTTCGATTCGATGATTCCGTTCGAAAAGCAGGACTTGCAGATCGTCGATCTGATCGCGCGCGAGGGCAGGGCGCCCGTCATCGCGTTCAACAAATGGGACCTGGTCGAGGATCGGCAGGAGCGGCTGGCCGACCTGCATGAACGCACCGCGCGCCTTCTGCCGCAAATCCGTGGCGTCCGTGCGGTTCCGGTCTCGGGTGAAACCGGCTACGGGCTCGACCGGCTGATGGACGAGATCGTCGCCACCCACAAGGTTTGGAACCGGCGCGTCGCGACGGCGCGGCTGAACAAATGGCTCGACGCCGTCGCCCAGCATCATCCGCCGCCAGCCGTCTCGGGCCGCCGGATCAAGCTCAAATACATCACCCAGGCGAAGACCCGTCCGCCGGGCTTCGTCCTGTCCTGCTCACGGCCCGATGCGCTGCCGGCATCCTATTTGCGCTATCTGACCAACGCGCTGCGCGAGGATTTCGACCTGCCCGGCGTGCCGGTGCGGCTGATGCTGCGCTCGCCCGACAACCCGTTCGCAGGCAAGGCCAAACGCCGAAGGTGAACGCTCTTGCGTCGCCGGCGACCCCTTAACAAAAATTGACCGGCCACTTAACGGCTCATCAAGGTTAATGCCGCATTGTGCTGCTCGTTCGCTTTGCGTTGCAAGCATTTCGGAGTTGGTCAGTGCGTTTTCTGCGTCTTTTTGGCACGAAGTTCATCGTGCCGTTTGCGTTCGCCTCCGCTGTTGTTGTCGCCAATCCGTCGCAAATGTCCCTCCAGGACATGTCGGTTCTCGTTTCGGGCATCGACACGGCCGCCGAAGACCGCTGGCTGATGCATGTCAGCCGGGCCGGCGTCGGTTCGATCCACTCCGCCGAAGTCCGTTTCCCGGTCGATACCGGTGTCACCGGCGCGATCCGCAAACCCGATGGCGCGCAATCGGGCGTCGGGCCGCTCGCCGTGATCAGCGAAAAGCAGGTTCTGCCCGACACGCCCGACGAGGCGCGCATCAACCGCACCGAGAAGTCCGGTCGCATCGCCGCCGTCGTTCCCGCCGCCCCGCCCAAGGATTTCTCGGCTGGCTCGATCCTGGAACGCCAGTCCAGCATCCTGCGGCCCTCGCTTGAGGACGGCGTGCAGATGGCTTTCGTCAAGCCGGAAATTCGCGGCGAAGAGATGCAGATCGCCGCCGCGTTCCACATTCGCAAGCCGGCGCCCGAGCCCCAGGTGTCCTCGATGATCGCGTCCCTGGTCACCAATACCAATCCCGATGTCCTGGCGACCGCCTATGCGCCGCCGGAAGCCGACTTCGCCGAAGAATCGCCATTCGCCAGCCTGCTGCGCAGCGAGCCGGCCGGCCGCGGCCGGTTCATTCCGCCGGTACCGGAAAACGATCACGCCTGGGCCAGCAGCCCGCTGCCGCCGCGCGTCTTTTCCGATCGCGAGCAGAAATGCCTTGCCGAAGGCATTTACTTCGAGGCCCGCGGCGAGATCGCGCGCGGTCAGGCAGCCGTCGCCCAGGTGATCCTCAACCGGGTGCGCAACCCCTCATTCCCGAACTCGATCTGTGGTGTCGTCTATCAGAACCGGCATTGGCGCAACCGCTGCCAGTTCTCGTTTGCCTGCGACGGCATTCGCGACCGCATCACCGAGCCGCACATGTGGCAGAAGGCCAAGGACATCGCGATGGCCACCACGGCCGGCAAGATCTGGCTCGACGAGGTCGGCTCGTCGACCCATTATCACGCCACCTATGTCAACCCGCGCTGGGCCCGGTCGATGAAACGGCTGACGCGGATCGGCCTGCACATCTTCTACCGCACCTATGGCGGCGGCTGGAGCTGATCGTCACCGCCCCACGTCGGCATTTGGTCTAAAGCCTGTCGTTGCGCCGTGCGACGAATCGGCAATCCCGCCATAAATATCTGATTTAAAATCGTTTTCCTGCTCATATTGCACCGCCCAATCCGCCTTGACGAATGACAGGGCCGAAACTATGTTGCGCGCAATTTGAGGGGGCCTGCGGCCCGTCTCGCGCGTCAGGTTCAGGGTCATGGCAGCAGACAAGCCAACACGCACCCCGGCCGGTGACAAGCAGGGCGGGCGTGCCGTCTCGAAACCGAATGCCGATCTGGAACAGCGGCGCCGGGCGCTCGAAGAAGCGCTGGCGCAACGCGCCCCGAGCGGGGATGCGGCTGACGAAGGGCGGCAGGAGGGAGCCGGAACCGGGATCGCGGCTGCGCTCAAACTGTCCAGCGAGTTCGTCGCGGGCATTTTGGTTGGCGCCGGGCTCGGATATCTGCTCGACCAGGTGGCTGGCACCAGTCCGTGGGGACTGATTGTCTTCCTGCTGCTTGGTTTTGCTGCCGGTGTTTTGAATGTGTTGCGCGCGGCGGGCAAGGTGGCCCATCCGGCTGCGGGCAAGCGCGGAGAACGGCTCGGCGACGGGCCCGGATCGCAAGAGGGCGACGACTGACGGCATCACGCCGCGGTTGCAAATGACAAGGGCGCCCGGCGCCCGGCAAGGACGGAGACAGGCACGGTGGCGAACGATCCCATCAAGCAGTTCGAGATCAACACGATCGTGCCGCTGGAGAATGTTGCGGGTCTCGACCTGTCGTTCACCAACTCCTCGCTCTTCATGGTCGCAACCGTCGCGACCGCGTCGGCCTTCCTCTATTTCGGCAGCGCCAACCGGGGCCTCGTGCCGGGCCGGCTGCAGTCGGTGGCCGAAATGTCCTACGAGTTCGTCGCCTCGATGCTGCGCGATGCGGCCGGCAGCCAGGGTATGCGGTTCTTCCCGTTTGTGTTTTCGCTCTTCATGTTCGTGCTGTTCGCCAATTTGTTCGGCATGTTCCCCTATTTCTTCACCGTGACCAGCCACATCATCGTCACCTTCGCGCTCGCCATGCTGGTGATCGGCACTGTGATCATCTACGGCTTCATGAAGCACGGGCTGAAGTTTCTGGGCCTGTTCGTGCCCGAAGGGGTGCCGGGCGTGCTCGTGCCACTGGTCGTTGCGATCGAGGTCATCTCGTTCCTGTCGCGTCCGATCAGCCTGTCTGTCCGCCTGTTCGCCAACATGCTGGCCGGCCACATCACGCTGAAGGTCTTCGCCGGCTTCGTCGTTTCGCTCGGTGCGCTGGGCGCGGTCGGCATCGGCGGCGCCATCCTGCCGCTGATCATGGTCGTCGCCATGACAGCGCTCGAATTCCTGGTCTCGTTTCTCCAGGCCTATGTCTTCGCGGTTCTGACCTGCATGTATCTCAACGACGCATTGCACCCGAGCCACTGATCCACATGGCGGCCCGCCGCCACAACCCATCCCGCAAATTCTTCGTTCAAAGGAGCTCACCATGGAAGCGGAAGCAGCAAAGTTCATCGGCGCCGGTATCGCCTGTCTCGGCATGGGTGGCGCGGCCATCGGCCTCGGATCCATCTTCGGCAACTATCTGTCCGGCGCACTGCGCAACCCGTCGGCCGCCGACGGCCAGTTCGGCCGCCTGATCTTCGGCTTCGCCGTGACCGAGGCGCTGGGCATCTTCTCGCTGCTCGTCGCCCTGCTGCTGCTCTTCGCAGTCTGATCGACGCCGGAACCATGGATGCGGCGGCCCGTCCGCCTCATCCCGCGGTCTCGTCCGAAGGCGGACAGGCCGCATGACCAGAAGCCTTTTGGGGTAACGCCATGTTCGTCACCGCTGCGCTGGCCGCCAGCACCGAAGCAGCCCAAGAGGGCGGCGGCGCCTTTCCGCCGTTCGATACATCGAGCTATGCATCGCAGCTGTTCTGGCTGGCGATCACCTTCGGCTTTTTCTACTGGTTCATCGCCAAGGTGATCTCGCCGCGCATCGGCGAGATTCTGGAGACCCGGCAGGACCGGATCGCCGGCGATCTCGACATGGCCCGCGACCTGCAGGAAAAGGCCGACGAGGCGCATGCCGCCTACGAGCAGGAACTGGCGCAGGCGCGCACGACGGCCGGCGAGATCGGCCAGAAGGCGCGCGACAAGGCCAAGGCCGAAGCCGAGGCCGAACGCCAGAAGGTGGAAGCCGAACTGGCCTCCAAGCTCGAAGAGGCGGAAAGCCGGATCGCATCCATTCGCGAAAAGGCAATGGCCGAAGTGGGCTCGATCGCGACCGACACCACCGCCGCGATTGTCGATCAGCTGGTCGGCACTTCGGTCACCAAGGCCGAGCTGACCAAAGCGGTCGGCGCGGTGCGCCGCTAGGGCGCCGGAAGGGATTAGGACATGTTCGATTCAAGTTTCTGGGCTCTGATCGGTCTTTTCCTGTTCTTTGGCATCCTGGTCTATTTCAAGGTGCCGGGGATGATCACGCGCGGCATCGACAGCCGCGGCGACAAGATCCGCAACGAGCTGGAAGAGGCGCGCCGGCTGCGCGAGGAGGCCCAGCAACTGCTGGCCGAATACCAGCGCAAGCGCAAGGAAGCCGAAGGCGAAGCCGAAAGCATCGTCGAGGCTGCCAAGAGCGAGGCCGAGCACATCACGGCCGAAGCCAAGCAGAAGACCGAGGAATATGTGGAGCGCCGCACCGCGCTCGCCGAGCAGAAGATCGCCCAGGCGGAACTCGATGCGGTCAACGCCGTGCGCGCCACGGCGGTCGATGTCTCGGTCGCCGCCGCCGAACGGTTGCTGGGCGACAAGATGACCGCAACGACGCGGGGCGACCTCTTCAAGGCGTCGATCGACCAGGTCAAAACGCACATGAACTGACCGCCGCTGGGTCCGGTCAAGGCATCAATGCCGCGCCCTCGGGCGCGGTTTTTTGTTGCCGGTTCGAAGCGAATTTTGGTCTGTCAGAGCCCGGACAGCGGGCGGAACGTGAAACGGTGCAGGCGCGCAACGCCGCCAAGACGTTCGATGGCCGCGCGATGGCCGGCCGAGCCGTATCCCTTGTGCCCCGACAGGCCATAGCCCGGATGCGCCGTGCACAGGTTGACGAGCATCCGGTCCCGGCTGACCTTGGCGACGATCGAGGCGGCGGCGACCGACAGACAGCGCGCATCGCCCTTGATCACCGACTGTGCCGCAAACTCCGGCGGCAGTCCGGGCGGTACGTCGCGCCCGTCGAACAGCGCCGCATCGGCGCGCGGCAAAAGGCCGGTCACACAGGCGCGCATCGCCGCAAGGCTCGCCTTGCGGATGTCGGACGCATCGATGCTGTCGGCGCAGACGCTTGCCACGCTGACCGCACGCGCATCGGCCATGATCGCGTCGAACAGAATGTCGCGGCGCCGTGCCGTCAGCGCCTTGGAATCGGCAAGGCCCGCAATTTCCACCGATGGATCGAGCACGATGGCGGCCGCGACGACAGGGCCTGCCAACGGGCCGCGCCCGGCTTCGTCAACGCCGGCGACAGCGTTATGGCCCTTTTTGTAAAGGGCCTCTTCGAACGCAAAGTCCGGGCCCCGCGGCCCGGAGTCGAAAAGAAGCGGCGAACCGGATGCATGCGACGTCATGGCAGAGCCATCACACGCAACCCGATTCGCCGCAAGGTTCGCTTGCTTGGCACGCCGTCGGCAGTTCGGCGCGGCAGGCGGCAGGGGAAGCCGCCCAAGTGAAGCGAACCGTGGCATCGGCTGCGAAAAACGGCGGGGACGGGCCGTGTGGGCTGCCGATGCCAATCGTGTCCGGGGTTTACAAAAGCGCCAATTGCTCCCCGTTTGGCGCGGGCTTGACGAACAGGTCGGTGCGCAGCGCCGTGCCGCGTCCCGAGAGCCCCAACCGTTTGCAGGCGATTTCCATGCGGCGCGCGATCTGCCACGCATAGGGGCCCGTGCCGCGCATGCGCTTGTTCCAGTCGGCGTCATAATCCTTGCCGCCGCGCATCGAGCGGATCAGGCTCATCACATGCCGGTAGCGCTCGGGATAATGGCGCAGCAGCCATTCCTTGAAGACCGGTGCGACCTCGAGCGGCAGGCGCAGCAGGACATAGCCGGCCTGGGTCGCGCCAAGCGAAGCCGCCGCATCGAGAATGCGCTCCATCTCGTGATCGTTCAGCCCCGGAATGATCGGCGCGACCATGACCGAGGTTGGAATGCCGGCATCGGCCAGCGCCCGGATCGCTTCGAGCCGCTTTGTCGGGGTCGAGGCCCTGGGCTCCATCGTCCGGGCCAGCATCCGGTCCATCGTGGTCACCGACAGCGCCACCTTGGCCAGCCCTTTTGAGGCCATGCGCGAGAGGATGTCGATGTCGCGCGTCACCAGCGCCGACTTGGTCACGATGCCGACCGGGTGATTGTAGCGTTCGAGCACTTCCAGGATCGAGCGCATCACCATCCAGTCCCGCTCGATCGGCTGGTAGGGATCGGTGTTGGTGCCGATCGCGATGCATCGGGCCTCATAGCCCTTGCGGGTGATTTCCTTTTCCAGAAGCTTTGCCGCATCGGGTTTGACGAACAGCTTGGACTCAAAGTCGACGCCCGCCGACAGTCCCGCATAGGCATGTGTCGGGCGCGCGAAACAATAAACGCATCCGTGCTCGCAGCCGCGATAGGGGTTGATCGACCGGTCGAACGAAATGTCCGGCGACTGGTTGCGCGTGATCACCGTGCGCGCCTGCTCGACCTGCACCTCGGTCTTGAACGGCGGCAGATCCTCAAGGCTCTGCCAGCCATCATCCTCCTCGGTGCGGCTGAGCGCCTCGAAACGCCCGGCGGGATTGATCGCGCTCGCCCGGCCGCGGACGCGGCGCTTGTCGCGACGCATGCCGGATGCCTCGATATGCTGATTGGCGGCCACCGCGCCGTCCAGTGCGCTGAGATGGCCTGCAATCTGATCTGCTTCGGCAATCGCCTTCATGCCGCGCTCCCGTGCGAATCTGTCCATGGTTCAATGATTATTTTCCTATCGTGATCGGCAGAACAATACAAGAACAAACTGACGATTTTGCGTCGCGCCGGAACATCGGTTAGGCGTGCGGGATGCTCTCCGTCCTGGTTCCCACGCACAATGACGAAGACCGGCTGGCGCACATGTTGCCGGATCTGGTGCGCCATGCGGTCAGTGGCGCCGTCAGCGACGTGCTGGTGCTTGACCACGATTCGTCGGACGAAACCGCGCGTGTCGGCGAGATCGCTGGCTGCACGATCATCGATGCATCGAAGGCCGATGTGTCGGCCATGCTCGACACTGCTCGCGGGCTCTGGATCCTGGTCCTGCCGCCCGGCGCGCGGCTGGTCGGCGATTGGCTCGCCGCGGTGGAAACGCACATCAATGCGCCGACGGGTGCGGCTGGTGCGGCCCGGTTTCGCATGGCGCGCGATCCCGGCCAATCGTTCTGGGCGCGTCTGTTCGCGCGACGGGGCCTGACCGGGCCGTTCGCGCGCGGGTTTCTGATCTCCAAGGCGCAGGCGCAGGCTTTGAGCCGCCCCGGCATGACGCTCGACGCGTTGCCGCGCGGCGTCGCGGTGCGGACCCTCAGGGCCGGACTGTTGCCGCCGGCCTCACGCTGACTTGCCGCCGCCGCGTTTGAGATGCTCGTCCAGACGCGGCATGATCTCCACGAAATTGCAGGGCATGTGGCGGTAGTCGAGCTGCCATTTCAGGATGCCGTCCCAGGCGTCCTTGCAGGCGCCCGGCGAGCCGGGAAGAACGAAGACGAATGTCGTGCCGATCAGCCCGGCCGTCGCGCGGGACTGGACGGTCGACGTTCCGATCTTGTCGAACGAGATGCGGTGGAAGACATGGGAAAAACCGTCCATGTGCTTGTCGAACATCGGCTCGAGCGCATCGGGCGTCACATCGCGTCCGGTAAAGCCCGTGCCGCCGGTGGTGATGACGATGTCGATGCCCTCATCGTCCGCCCAGTCGCGCACCTGCGCCGATATCCGCGCCATCTCGTCCGGCACGATCGCGTAGCCGGCAACCGTGTGCCCGGCGGCCTCGATCCGGTCCTTGAGGGCTTGCCCGGAGCGGTCCTGGTCTTCCTTGCGCGTGTCCGAGACGGTCATCACCGCAATCGCCAGCGCGATGAACGGCCTTGTGTCGTCAAGCCTCGACATGGGCTTCTCCCTGTTCTGCCCGGTTCCTGACAGGTGTGTCCGCGTTCAGGATCGTCGCCCTGATCCACCAGTCCGGTCGCGCCCCGGCCATGGTTTCGGCCGCGTCCACGGCCTGCTTGCGCGTTGTGAACAGGCCGAAACAGGTCGCGCCAGAACCCGACATGCGGGCCATCAGCGCACCGCTGGACCGCAGCGCGCCAAGCACATCGTCGATGGCCGGCACCAGCTGTCGGGCCGGCGAAGCCAGATCGTTGCGCGTCCCGGCCGACAGCCAGTCGGCGAGGGCGCCGATATCGGCGAAGCCGCCATCCGGCATTGCCGGGACCGGCGTATTGTCCCGGTCTTGCAGCGCGGCGAAGGCGGACGGCGTGGCGACTGCGACGCGCGGATTGACCAGAAGAGCCGGCAGGGCTGGCAGGCCGGCGACCGGATCGAGCCGCTCGCCGATGCCGCGCACGCGCAAAGGCCCGCCATGAACGCACATGGCGACATCGGCGCCCAGCGCATTGCAGATCGCTTCGGACCGATCGGCACAGATCGCCGCTTCGGCACTCCACAAACGGGCCAGCAGCCGCAACGTCGCGCCGGCATCGGCCGAGCCGCCGCCTATGCCTGACGCCACCGGCAAATTCTTATCGAGCGTCAAGGCAACCGGGCTGGCCGCATCGCTCTGCCCACGCAGCCAGTCGCGCGCCGCGGTCACCAGATTGCCGGCGCTGTTGTCGCTTTCGAGCCCCGATGCCTCCGGCCCGTTCACGCAAAACCGGTCGGTATCGGACGGCGCCACGGCGATCCGGTCAGCGGCATCGCTGTCGGCGAAGACGACCAGCGAATCGAGCAGATGATAGCCGTCGGCGCGGCGGCCGGTCACGTGCAGGCACAGATTGATCTTGGCCGGCGCGAGATCTTCAAGCGCAGCGCCGGGCGGACTCACCGGAACTTCCGGCATGGCTCAGCCGTCATTGCCGCCGGCGGTTTCGCTGGCCTGTTCGGCCGCACCATTGTCGACGCGGCTTTCGGCGATCGCCGGTTCCTCGCCGGCATTGGCCGCGTCCAGCTTGGCGCGGATTTCGGCCAGCGCATCGTCCTCGCCTTCCATGGCAAGCGCGCGCGACCATTGATAGGTCGCCTCCAGCTTGCGCCCGACACGCCAATAGGCGTCGCCCAGATGGTCGTTGATGATGGAATCACGCGGTCGCAGATCGGTCGCCCGTTCCAGATGTTCCACGGCCCGTTCGAAATTGCCCAGCCGGTAGTAGGCCCAGCCCAGCGAATCGACGATGTAGCCGTCGCGCGGCCGCTGCTCGACTGCGGTGCGGATCATCTCGATGCCTTCGTCGAGATGCATGTTCATGTCGACCCACGAATAGCCCAGATAGTTCAGCACGTCAGGCTGGTCCGGCGAAAGGGTGAGCGTGTGCTTGAAGGTGCGTTCGGCCTCCGGCCAGCGGCCGGTGCGCTCATAGGCGATGCCGAGCCGGTAGTGCATCTGCCAGAAGCGCGAATCGTCGAGATCGAGCCGGGTCACGGCGGCCTCGTAGACATCGGCCGCCTCTTCGAACTCCTTCAGCGAGGCGTAGACGCCGCCGAGCGCCAGATAACCGCGAAAATCGTCGGGATTGTCCTCGATCAGGGCGGCGAGGGTGGCCTTGGCCTCGTCGTGGCGATCGAGCGCCGACAGCGCCAGCCCGCGCTGCAGGTCGGCGATCCGCGCCAGCGGCGAATCGGCGGGTACCGATGCGTAGTAGCGGATCGCGCGTTCTGGCTGGCCGAGCTTTTCGGCGATACCGCCGAGTTCGAACAGAATTTGCGCGTTCTCCGGCGCCATTGAACGCGCCAGCTCAAGATAGAGCGCGGCAAAGTCCTCGGCGCCGTCGCGGTTGATCGCCGATCCCAGATTGAGCAGGATCTCTCCGGCGCCCAGTTGCGGCGTGTCGATGACGTTGCGCGATCCCGCTGGCGTGTCGATGGTCCCGGAAGCGGCGAGCAGGTCCGGATTGTTGGGCGCCGTCCCAAGCCCGCGCCCGATCACCTCGCGCGCTTCGGCCAGTTCGCCGGTGCGCGCCAGAAACCGCGCATTGGCTTCAGCAAGCCGCAGATAGGTCAGCGGCGAGGCGCTGCCGCCGGCGGCATTGTTCATGCCGTCCGCATAACGGGTTCTTGCCTCGTCGGCCCGGCCGGCCGCATCGGCGATCAGCGCGCCGTGATAGGAAGAGAAAAGGCCGAACCAGTCCGGGCCTCGCAGGCCGTCGATCAGGTCGAGCGCGCCGTCCGTGTCGCCCGCACCGTGTCGCGCCCAGGCGCGGAGGATGCCCGTCAACAGCCGTTCGAGGTCGTTTTCGACGGCCAGGATCAATGTCGGTTCGGCATCCAGATACCGGTTTTCGCGAATTGCCTCGACGCCGAGCACAAGGCGCGCGATCCGCTCAACATCGGCCTCGTCCTTCAGGATCTCGGCGTGGGGCAGCGCCGCGCCGATCTGGCCATCGGTGACCAGCGAGATCATCAGGTCGCGTCGCAGGCCCGGATTGCCGGGATCAAAGCGCAGTGCCTCGTCGTAGTAACGCGCCGCCTCGCCGAAATCGAACCGCTCGCGCGCCGCATTGGCCGCAAGGAACGCTCCGGCAAATGTCCGTGTCGGCGCATGGAAGCCGGGTGCGGGATCGGCGGATGCGATGGCGGGCCGTGGCTGGACGGCCAGCGCCGCGGCAAGCGCCATCAGGGCCAGCGTCGAGGACTTTGCGAAGGATGCGGTCATGGGCGGCCTGTAACCGTGGATTGGAGGCTTGTTCCGATTCACCCGCCAGCATGGCGCTTTTGTGGCCCGGCGGCAATCACGCCGCATCGCTGCGGGACGAGTGCTCAGTTAAGGCGCGAGATGCAAAAATCGACCACCTCGAGAAGCGCGTCCTTTTGCGGCGTCGCCGGCATTGGCGCCAGCGCATCGCGCGCAATCGCACCAAAATGCCGCGCCCGCTGGATCGTGTCGGCCAGCGCGCCATGCCTGGCCATCAGCGCCCGCGCCTTTTCCAACCGCTCGGCGCCATTGTCGCCGTCTTCAAGGCTCTGTTTCCAGAAGCCGCGCTCATCGTCCGAGCCGCGCCGGTAGGCCAGCAGGACCGGCAGCGTAATCTTGCCCTCCCGGAAATCGTCGCCGACATTCTTGCCCAGATCGCCGGCATCGCCGCCATAGTCGAGCACGTCGTCGACGAGCTGAAAGGCAAGGCCCAGATTGAGCCCGTAGGAGCGCAGCGCCGCACGTTCGTCGCTGCCAGCGCCGGCGACGATCGGCCCGACTTCGGCCGCAGCAAGGAACAAAGCGGCGGTCTTGGCCTTGATGACGGCGAGATAGTCATCCTCGGTGGTCGACAGTTTCTTGGCGGCCGAAAGCTGCATCACCTCGCCTTCGGCGATGATCGCAGAGGCGGTCGACAAGACATCGAGCGCGTCCATCGAGCCGACATCGACCATCATCCGGAAGGCCTGTCCCAAAAGGAAATCGCCGACGAGAACGCTGGCCTGATTGCCCCAGATGATCCGCGCCGTCGGCTTTGACCGGCGCCGGTCGCTCTCATCGACCACGTCGTCGTGCAAGAGCGTCGCCGTGTGCATGAACTCGACGCTGGCGGCGAGCTTGATGTGGTGATCGCCCTGATAGCCGAACATTTCGGCGCTCGCGATCGTCAGCATCGGCCGCAGCCGCTTGCCGCCCGAGTTGATCAGATGGTTGGCGACTTCCGGGATCATCCGGACATCCGACCCGGCCTTGTCGAGGATAAGCTGGTTGACCCGTTCCATGCCGGGCTTGGCAAGCGCCACGAGCGGCTCGATTCCGCTTTTGCGCGGCGGCTCGTCGATGGCAACGACAACACCCATGAGTGCCTCTCCTTTTTCGGCGGCACCCTATGGTTTCGCGCGGCGGCCAGCAAGCGGCGAATTGGCGCGCGGGCTGCGCCGTTGGTCGCAGCCATCCTTGCCCGCCAGCCTGCAACCGCGTAACCAAGCTCCATGGAAGAACTGATGCGCTCCAACAACATCGTCACCCTCTCCTTCGTCGAGGCGCTGATGCGCGATGCGGGCATCGGTGTGATGATTGCCGACCAGAACATGTCGATCATCGAAGGGTCGATCGGCGCCATTCCCCGCCGCATTCTCGTCGAAAGCGACCGGATCGACCAGGCGCGCCGCATCATGCACGATGCGGGGCTTGCCCATGAACTCAAGGCATGAACTCAAGGGCTGATCCGGGGTCGCCAACGACCATAGACGCTTTTCATCGCGGGCGGTTCGTTCTTGTGCAGCCCTCGCGTGGACGCCATCGCGCCGGGCTCGATGCGATGCTTCTGGCGGCGACGGTGCCCGCCGGATTTGATGGAACGCTAGCCGATCTGGGGGCGGGCGCCGGCGCGGCGGCGCTGGCCGTCCTCAGCCGGTGCCCCGATGCCCGTGCGACGCTGTTCGAGAACGATCCCGTGATGGCGAACTGCGCGCGCCAGACGATGCAGCGCGCGGAAAACGCCAGCCTTCAGCCGCGCGTGCGGATCGTCGCCGCCGATGTGACGCTGGATGGTCGTGCCCGGGAAGCGGCGGGTCTCGAAAGCGGGCGCTTCGATCAGGTCATCGCCAATCCGCCGTTCAACGATGCGCGCGACCGGCAATCGCCCAATGCTGCGCGGGCCGCCGCCCATGTGATCGACGCGAGTACGATGCTGGCCTGGATCAAGACCGCATCGGCGATCGCCCGGCCCGGCGGCCGGTTTTCGATGATCGCGCGGCCGTCCATGCTCGCAGACATATTGGCCGGCATGGAGCGCCGTTTCGGCGCGATCGCCATCCGGCCGGTCCATCCGCGCGCCGATGAAGCAGCGATCCGCATCCTTGTGTGGGGGGTCAAGGGCAGCCGCGCACGGCTCGCCCTGCTGCCAGCCGTGGTCCTTCACCCCGATGGCGCATCCGGAAAGTTCACGGCGGACGCCGACGCGCTCATCAATGGCGACGCCGCACTGTCCATGGAGCCCTGATCAGCGCTCGCGTTCGATAGCGCGCCAGCCAATGTCCGAACGGCAGAAGCCGTCCGGCCAGTCGATCGCCTCGACAGCCTGATAGGCGAGCGCCTGCGCCTCCGACACCGTGCTTCCCGTCGCGGTGACGTTCAGCACCCGCCCGCCATTGGCGACGAGGTCTCCGCCGCGCCGCGCCGTTCCCGCATGGAAGATGGTGACGCCGTCCATCGCGCCGGCCTTGTCCAAGCCGCCGATCACCGAACCTTTTTCTGGCGCGGCCGGATAGCCCGGTGCGCACATGACGACGGTGAGCGCGGTGTCATCCGTCCAGCGCGCCGTCGCATCGCCCAATGCGCCCTCGGCGGCTGCCTTGAGCAGCGGCAACAGGTCGTCGCGCAGGCGCGGCATGATCACCTGGCATTCGGGATCGCCGAAGCGGACATTGTATTCGATCAGCTTCGGACCTTCGTCCGTCACCATCAGGCCTGCATAAAGGACACCGGTGAAGGGACAACCCATCGCCGCCATGCCGGAAAGCGTCGGCGCGATGATTTCTTCCATCACGCGCGCCTGCATCGCTGCATCGAAGATCGGTGCGGGCGAATAGGCGCCCATGCCGCCGGTGTTGGGACCCGTGTCACCGTCTCCGACCCGCTTGTGATCCTGCGCCGAGGTCAGGGGCAGGGCGGTCCTGCCGTCGCACAGGCAAAAGAAGCTCACCTCCTCGCCTTCCAGGAACGCCTCGACGACCACTTCCGCTCCCGCATCGCCGAACGCGCCCTCGAAGCAGTCGTCGATCGCGGCCAGAGCCTCTTCCACGGTCATGGCCACGGTCACGCCCTTGCCGCCCGCCAGCCCGTCCGCCTTGATGACGATCGGCGCGCCCTGTTGCCGGACGTAGGCCTTCGCCTTGGGCGCATTGTTGAACCGTCCGTAGGCGGCGGTCGGAATGCCCTGCCGGTCGCACAATTCCTTGGTGAAGGCCTTGGAGCCTTCCAGCCGTGCCGCCTCCGCTGTCGGGCCGAACACCGCGATGCCGGCAGCGGCAAGATCGTCGGCAAGGCCGGCGACGAGCGGCGCTTCCGGTCCGATGACGACGAGGTCGATGCTCTGGATGCGGCAGAAATCGATGACGGCGGAATGGTTGGCGACATCCAGCACCGCATTGGTGGCGATGGCGGCCGTGCCGGGATTGCCGGGCGCGCAGATCAGCGCGGTCAGAAGCGGCGAGGCGGCCAACTTTGCCGCCAGCGCATGTTCGCGGCCCCCGCCGCCGATCAACAGAACGCGCATTTCGCTCAACTCCCAACGGCCATCGATGGCCCGGCGCTACGCGGCACCACGACGCGGGTCAAGACCGGCCCCGTGCGCTTGACCTTTGCCCACAGGGTTGCGACGAGGCAATCATGGACAATGTGCAGTCAAAAGCCGGGCAGGGCCGCGTCGCCGACGCGCCATCGGGCCATTGGGTCTATGCGATCATGCCGCGGGCGGTCTGGCCGTTCGCGCAATTGGCGCGCTGGGACCGGCCGATCGGCTGGTGGCTGCTGCTGTGGCCGTGCTGGTGGGCGGCGGCGCTGGCGCCGTTTGGCCACGGCACCGAAAGCATGCCCGTTCTGGACCGTTTGCCCGATCCGTGGCATCTCGTCCTGTTCCTGATCGGCGCGATCGCCATGCGCGGCGCGGGTTGCACCTACAATGATCTTGTCGACCACGAAATCGACGACAGGGTCGCGCGCACGCGGTCGCGACCGCTGCCGTCCGGGCAGGTGACCCGCACCCAGGCCAAGGTCTTTCTGGTCGCCCAGTCGCTGGTCGGCTTCGTCGTCCTCATCCAGTTCAACTGGACGGCGATCGCCGTGGGTATCGCTTCGCTGGCAGTTGTCGCGATCTACCCGTTCGCCAAGCGCTTTACCGACTGGCCGCAACTCTTTCTGGGCCTCGCCTTTTCGTGGGGCGCCTTCATGGGCTGGGTGGCCGTGCACGGATCGCTCGGGCCGACGCCCGTCCTGCTCTATCTGGGCTGCATCCTGTGGACGATCGGCTATGACACGATCTACGCCCATCAGGACAAGGAGGACGACGCGCTGGTCGGCGTGCGCTCGACCGCGCGCCTGTTCGGCGAGCGTACCAAGCCGGCGCTCGTGATCCTTTATGGCGGCATGGTCGTGCTTCTGGCCGCCAGCTATGCCAGCACGGGCGCGCCGCCGATTGCCTATCTCGGCCTGGTCGCGGCGGGCCTGCACATGCTCAACCAGATCCGCGTCCTCGACATTGACGACGCCGACCAGTGCCTGGCGCTTTTCAAGTCCAACACGGTCGTCGGTTGGCTGATCTTCGGCGGCCTTGTCGCCGCCGCCATCGCCGAAATCGTTCGCTGATCTGCCTTTAGGGCTGCACCACGGGGCCGACGATGGCCTGGTCGAATGCCTGGCAGACCGCTTCCACGTCACCGGGATCATGCGGCACGGGCAGGTCGGAAAGCGCCAGAAAGAAGCGCTCATGCTTCGCGGGCGTCGATATCAGGGTCATCTTCGCCGGGCTGTCGCCGAGCGCCGAGAAGCTGTGCGTGACGCCTTTTGCGACGAGGATGTGATCGCCCGGCTCCGCCCGCACGCGATCGTCTCCGACGAGGAACAACAGCGCGCCTTTGCTCACGTGGAAAATCTTGTCTTCCCCAAATGAATTGTGCGCCGGCGCACCCAGCCCGGGCATGACGGTCATCACCATGACCGTGAAGGGCGCGGCATCGCCTCCCAAAAGGATGTCGGCCTCGATCCCGGAAAACCGGGCTTGGCCGACAGATGACAGGATTCCGTCTGCGGAGTGTCGATGGATCGGGTCGCTGGTCATGGCAAATCTCCTTGCTTCGACACGGACATTGGATCCACTTGATTGTTTTGATTAGCCGGTCATTCATGGCATGATTGAACGGAATTCTGCACAATGGCCAAACTCGATTCCCTTTTCACCTTTGTCGAAGTCGTTCGGGCCGGGAGCTTTGCCGCGGCGGCTGCTCGGCTGGGCAAGCCGCGCTCGACGGTGAGCCTGCACGTCAAGACCCTTGAGGCGACGCTCGGCACGCGGCTGATGAAGCGGTCCACGCGATCCCTGTCGCTGACCGAGGATGGGCGTCTGCTGTTCGATCAGGCGGAAGGCGGGCTGAAAACGCTGACCGCCGCGATGGACGCAATCCGGACGAAACCGGGCAGGCTGGGCGGGCTGATACGCCTGACCGCGCCTGCAGACTTTCCCACCGACACGCTGACCACCGCGATCACCGAGTTCCGTCGGATGCATCCGGCTGTTCGCTTTGACGTCATGCTGACCAGCGCGACGATGAACATGATCGACGGAGATGTGGACATTGCGCTTCGGATCAGCCGCCGCGGCGGCGAGGACCGCGTGGAACGGCGGTTGCTGGATGTCGGATGGCAGTTCTGCGCAAGTTCGGAATGGGTGCGCCGCAAAGGCAGGCCGCGAACAATTGCAGAGATCGACGACTTCATTGCGCCTGCACCGGAGCTGGCGCGGTTTCTCGAGCACACCGTTCTGGGGGGCGCGAAACTGCCCGCCGGCGATGTCATGGCCGACAATCAGTTCGCCATCCGCGATCTGGTTCTGGCGGGCAACGGCGTCGCGCTAATCCCCGAGGGATTGTGCGCCGACGCAATCGAAGACGGACGTGTGGTGGTGCTTCTCGACGAGGCGATTGCCGACACGACACCGCTGGCCCTGACCTTTCCCAGCCGGGCGGACATCGTGCCGCGTGTCCGTGCCTTCGCCGACCATTTCGCGAAGCAGTTCGAGCGATCGCGACAGGCAGAGAGGCTTCTGAGGGGCCGGTGAGGCCGAGGCGTCAGATCGACGGATCGCGGGCGATGATTTCCTCGCCGCGCACCATCAGCCGCACGCCGAGATTGCCCATCCGGCGGCGGGCCAGAAAACGCGGCCGGCGCTCGGCGAACATGGAATGGTGGCGGCGCGGCTGTGCATCGCCCGAAACGAGCGCCTGCGCGCTTTCTTCGAGCGTGCGCGCGACACCGTCCATCTCGATCATCATCATCGGCAGTTCGAGCAGCTCCGACCAGGCCTGCCAGTCGCGCGCGATGGCGGGCAGGTCGTGCCCGACGCTCAGCGGAACGCTCAGTTCCTCGTCCTCGTGCAACAGCTCCAGCGTCACCAGAGCCTGATCGGGGCCGGTTTCGGTGGCCCGCACCGCAACGCCGCGAAAGGCGCGCGCCGGCAGCGCAATGTGAAGCGGCAGGCCCGATTGCGCCAGTTCGCGCTTCAGGGTGGCGCCGCGGCGGTTGACCGTGATGGTCGTCTCGCCGTTGCCGTTGCGTGTTGCATAGGACAGTTCCTGGGGCAGGCGGGCCGGATCAAGCCGGAATTCATGCCCTGCCCAGGCTGGTTGCGCACCGATGCTCATCGTTTGACGTCTCGCCTGTTGTCCTGAGAGCCGCCGGGCCTTTTTGGCCTCTTGCGATCCTCTTACCCTGTTTGCCGGGAGGCTTGTGTTCGCCGCCTCGACAAGACGCACCCTAGCGCAAGCCGGCCAAACAAGGGCTAAGGAACGCGGTTAAAAAAGATTGACGGATGAAATGGTTAGCGGAATCCGACCGCGTTGCGGCGGCCTGTCGGAATGCGGCACAGCTTGACCCTTTCTCTGGCCCGTGCGAGGGCAGCCGGCATTGAAAAACGGTTTTCGACGACGCCATGACCGCTCACACATCCATCGACGCCCAGCATCCGACGCGTTCGTTTCAGGGCCTGATCCTGACCCTGCACGATTATTGGGCGCGCCACGGCTGCGCGATCCTGCAGCCCTACGACATGGAAGTGGGCGCCGGAACGTTCCACCCGGCGACGACCCTGCGTTCGCTCGGGCCGCGGTCATGGAAGGCAGCCTATGTGCAGCCCTCGCGCCGGCCGACTGACGGGCGCTATGGCGAAAATCCCAACCGGCTGCAGCACTATTACCAGTATCAGGTGATCCTGAAGCCGTCGCCGCCGGACCTTCAGGAACTGTACCTGGGTTCGTTGCGCGCGATCGGCATCGATCCGCTGCTGCACGATATCCGCTTCGTCGAGGACGATTGGGAAAGCCCGACGCTGGGCGCCTGGGGGCTCGGCTGGGAATGCTGGTGCGACGGCATGGAGGTCTCCCAGTTCACCTATTTCCAGCAGGTCTGCGGCATTGAATGCGCGCCGGTCTCGGGCGAATTGACCTACGGGCTCGAGCGCCTCGCCATGTATGTGCAGAACGTCGACAACGTGTACGACCTCAACTTCAACGGCGGCGAGGGCGACGACAAGATCACCTATGGCGATGTCTTCATGCAGGCCGAACAGGAATATTCGCGGCACAATTTCGAATATGCCGACACGGCGATGCTGATGCGCCATTTCGAGGACGCCGAAGCCGAATGCCGCGCCTTGCTGGCCGCAGGAGCGCCGGACGATGCCTCCAACGCCCAGCTCCACAGATGCGTCCTGCCCGCCTATGACCAGTGCATCAAGGCGTCCCACGTCTTCAACCTGCTCGATGCGCGCGGCGTGATCTCGGTGACCGAGCGCCAGAGCTACATCCTGCGGGTGCGCGATCTGGCCAAGGCGTGTGGCGAGGCGTTCCTGATGACCGATGCGGGCGGCGCAAAGCCCGGCTGACTCCCATGTACGCAGTCAGCCGGCCGGGCCCGTCCACTCTGCGAAATCCGATGCAACCCTCACCCAAAGTCCGGGGGGCGACCGGACCAACGATGCCATTGCCGCCACGGTCCGAAACCGTGTCGAGGCGGAACAGGCAGCCTGCTCCCGGTGCACATGCGTATAGTGGGCAACGCAGCTTTTTCTGACGGCAGTCATTCGTCCGCGCGGGCCGCGGTTACGCAGCAACACCCGATCGGATCACAAACAAATTTGTGACGGACCGTTCATCGATCACGAACATCTGAAAGGTGCGGTGCCCGTAAACACGGACAACGGCGCGGGAACGCTGCGCCGTCTTGTTCGTTTACGGAGGACTACTCACCATGCGCAAGGTAATGATGGGCGCTGCCATTTCCATGGGCCTCATGGCCGCACCGGCCCAGGCCGACAACATCGTCGAGGTCGCCCAGGGCGCCGGCACGTTCAACACGCTGCTCGCCGCAGCCGAAGCGGCCGGGCTGGCCGGCGCGCTGGCGACCGGCGAGAACCTGACCGTCTTCGCACCGACCGATGATGCGTTCGCGGCTCTGCCCGCTGGCACGGTCGAAAGCCTGCTCCAGCCGGAAAACAAGGACCAGCTCGCCGCGATCCTGAGCTATCATGTCCTGCCGCGCGAACTGGCCTCAAACCAGCTTCCGGGCCGCACCATCCACATCCGCACGATCAAGGCCGGTGGCGACCGCCTTCTGGCGATCGAAAAGGACGCCCACACCGGTGCGGTGGTCGTTGACGGTGCCAACGTCGTCGCCGCCGATATCCAGGCCGACAACGGCATCATCCATGTCATCGACAAAGTGATGCTGCCCGCGAGCTGACCCCCCTGCTCATTGGGTGGCGTGCCCCGTCCGGCCTTGCCGGGCGGGGTTTTTTTCTTGCCTGAAGCCGCCTCGGTGCGTTCAATCGGCACCATCGACGCGGACCGGGGAGGCGCAGATGACGGCACACGGCCATTTCCATTGGAACGAACTGATGAGTCGCGATGTCGAGAAGGCCAAGGCGTTCTATGCGGACGTGCTCGGCTGGTCCTTCGAATCGATGACGATGGGACCGACGGGTACCTACTGGATCGCCATCCAGGACGGTGAGCGCGTCGGTGGCATGTACGAAATGGCAGGTGACAGCTTTGATGGCATGCCGGAAGCCTGGTACCCCTACATCGCGGTCGATGACGTGGACGAGCGCGTTGAAAGAGCGAAAGCTGCCGGCGCAACCGTATTGGGCGAACCGTTCGACGTACCGCAGTTGGGACGCATTGCAATGGTCCGCCAGCCGGGAGGCGCGCTGATGGGCTGGATCGCGCCAGCGGATGACCCGCCCGCCTGAGGTCCGCCGCGTCCAGATGATGCGCGCGACGCTGTTGGCCGGGGCGCTTCCATCTTGGGATGAACCCATCTAGTTTGCCGGCCGACGGGGCGAGCACAAGGAGACGCGCCATGTTCGGCGGCGGCACCATCACGGCAATCATCATCGTGGCCATCGCGGCCTATGCGATCGTCATCTATAACGGGCTGGTCCGGGCCCGCCAGATGGTTCAGGAGGCCTGGAGCGGCATCGACGTGCAGCTCAAGCGGCGCGCCGACCTGATCCCCAACCTGGTCGAGACGGTCAAGGGCTACGCCGGCCATGAAAAGGAGACGCTCGAGCAGGTCACCGAGATGCGCACGCGGGCGCAGAACGTGCCGGCGGGCGATGTGGCCGGTCGCGCCGCGGCGGAAAGCATGCTCAGCCAGGCGATTGGCCGGCTGTTCGCGGTTGCCGAGAGCTATCCCGACCTGAAGGCCAACCAGAATTTCGCCGAGTTGCAGGAAGCGCTGGAGACCACCGAACGCGAAATCCAGATGGCCCGGCGCTATTACAACGGTTCGGCCCGCGAATTGAACGTCAAGGTCGAGAGCTTTCCATCCAATCTCGTCGCCAACACGTTCAATTTCGTCCAGGCCGACTATTTCGAATTGGACGATCCGGGCGACCGCGCCGTTCCGCAGGTGTCATTCAACAGTTAGGGCCCTGGCCCCAGGTCACGCCCATGTGACGGAGGACGCGTGCTTCACCGCATTCTCATCTCGTTGATCCTGCTGGCCGCGATGGCGGTCGCGGCGGTTGCCGACGAGCGCATCCTCCTGTTCGACAGCGATATCACGATCAATCCCGACGGCACGCTCGATGTGGTCGAGACTATCCGCGTCAATGCCGAAGGTCAGCGCATCCGGCGCGGCATATTTCGCGATTTTCCCTTGCGCGTCGAAAACGCCGCCGGCCGCGAAGTGCTGGTCGGCTTCGACGTGGTCGGTGTTACCCGCGACGGCGCCCCCGAACCCTATTTTGTCGAGCGCGACGGCCGCGTCGCCCGTACCTATGTCGGCGATGCGGACGTCTTCCTGCGCCCCGGCGTCCACACCTACACCATCACCTACCGCACCGACCGCCAGCTGCGCTTCTTCGAAGACCATGACGAGATCTTCTGGAACGTCACCGGCAATGCGTGGGCGTTCCCGATCGATGTGGCGCGCGCGACGGTGCGTCTGCCCGGCGAGGCGCGCGCGCAGGATGTCATCTTCTTCACCGGCCCGTTCGGCAGCCGCGGACGCGAGGCGCGTTCGGCCAGGGCGAACAACAATGGCACGGTGATCTTCGAAACGACCGCGCCTCTGGGGCCGAGAGAGGGCCTGACCGTCGGGGTCAAGTTCCCCAAGGGCCATGTCGCCGAGCCGGCGGCGGGACAGTTCTTCCTGCGTGATTTTGCCGGAGAGGTCGTGGCGTTTGGCGGGCTGGCGTTTGTCTTCGGCTTCTTCTTTTGGGCATGGAACCGCGTCGGCCGCGACCCGCCGGAGGACATCGTCGTGCCGCGCTGGGAGCTACCGGACGGCGTATCGCCGGCGCTGACCCACTACATCGCCAACCGCGGGCTGCGCGGGCAGGGGTTCACCGCCCTTTCGGCGGCCGCGCTCAATCTGGCGGTCAAGGGCTATATGGAGCTCGACAATAACGACGGCACGCTGACGATGCGCCGCACGGACACACCGCTGATGGGCTCGAAACTGCCCGTCGGAGAGCGGGCGCTTGCCGACCGCGTCTCGGCCAATGGCGGCGCGCTGACCGTCACCAAGACGAACGGCGAGCGCGTCAAGCGCATGGCCGACCGCTTCCGTTCGGCGATCGAGGACGAACATCGCGCGGTCTTCTACAAGTCCAATGTCGGCTATGTCGTTGCCGGACTTGTTCTGTCGATCGTGGTCACCATTGCCGCGCTCGCCCTGAGCGGACCGGTCGAAACCACGCTCGTGCCGCTGATCCCGCTCGGCTTTATTGGCATCGTCGTGACCGTACTGCTGGTCAACGCGGCCAAGAACGCCCGGCGCGGGCTGGGCGGAAAAATCGGCCTGGCATTCACGGTCTTCATCGCCATATCGCTGATCGTCAATGTTGGCCTGGCCGGCATTGCGGACGGACTGGCGCTGATCGAAAAACCGCTGCTGGTCGGCCCGCTCATCACCCTGCTGATGCTCAACGCGCTGTTCTTCTTCCTGATGGGCGCACCGACGCCGCTCGGCCAGACCCGGTCGGCGGAGATCGCCGGCCTGAAACGCTATCTGACCGTCGCCGAGGAAGACCGGATGAACATGCTCGGCTCGCCCGAAATGTCGCCGCAGCACTATGAGACGCTTCTGCCCTATGCGGTGGCGCTGGGCGTCGAAAAGCCCTGGTCGAAGGCGTTCCAGAAATGGCTGGCCGCAGCGGCTGCCGCGGGCGTCGCGACGGCCGTCGCCTATCACGGACCGCGCTGGTATCACGGCGACGGTTTCCGCGCCGACAGGATCGGCGACCAGATGGGCAGCCTGGCCGGCGATTTGTCCAGTTCGATGACCGCGGCCATGCCCGCGCCGAAATCGTCTTCGTCGGGCTTTTCCTCCGGTGGCGGCTTTTCCGGCGGTGGCGGCGGCGGCGGTGGCGGCGGCGGCTGGTGAGGGAGACGGCAATGGCCAAGGGCAAGCTGGTGGAGCAGGCACCCGTGCTGCTGGTGCGCGATGTCGTCGAAAGTGCTGCCTATTGGCGTGACTGTCTCGGCTTCAAGGAGCGGCTCTGGGGCGATCCGCCCGGTTTCGCCATTTGCTGGCGCGACGCGTGCTTCGTCATGCTGTCGCAGGCGCCCGAAGACCACGAGATCGTGCCGAACTGGAAGATCGTCGACAAGATGTGGAATGCCTATTTCTGGGTCGACGATGCCCGAGCGATCTATGCGGAGTTCCAGGCCAGCGGCGCCCGCATCGACTATTCGCTCTATGAAGCGCCCTATGGCGTCCTCGAGTTCGGAATTCAGGATCTGGACGGCCACGACATTGCGTTCGGCCAAGACCTCCAATAACACGCATTCAGCTTCCACCCTGAACGCGATCCGTCATGCCCGATCTGCTCGTCGAACTCTTCTGTGAGGAAATCCCCGCGCGCATGCAGCGCCGCGCCGCGACCCATTTGCGCGAGGCGCTGACTGGCGCGCTGGTCGATGCCGGGCTGACCTATGAGGGCGCGCGCGATCATGTGACGCCGCGCCGGCTGACGCTGGACGTGCGCGGGCTGACGGCGCGCTCGGCCGACACAACCGAAGAGCGCAAGGGCCCCCGCGTCGATGCGCCTGAAAAGGCTCTTGCCGGCTTCCTGCGCGGTGCGGGCCTGGCGTCGGTCGACGAGGCCGAAGTCCGGTCCGACCCGAAGAAGGGCGATTTCTATGTCGCCGTGATCAAACGCGAAGGCCGCTCGGCGGAGGAAATCGTCGCCGAGGCAATGCCGGCCATCATCCGTGACTTTCCCTGGCCCAAATCGATGCGCTGGGGTGCGCCGTCGGCCGAGCCCGGCGCACTGCGCTGGGTGCGTCCGCTGCAATCGATCCTGTGCACCTTCGGTCCGGAAACCGAGGAGCCGGTGGTCATCGATTTCGAGGCGGGCGGCATCCGTTCGGGCAATGTGACGCGCGGCCATCGCTTTCACGCGGGCGAAGCCTTCACCGTACGCCGGTTCGACGATTATGCCGCCGAACTCGAAAAGCGCTTCGTCATCATCGATCCCCAGCGCCGCAAGGAGATGATCGCCGCCGACGCGCGCAATCTCGCCTTTGCCAATGGCGTCGAACTGGTCGAGGACGATGCGCTCCTGGACGAGGTGGCCGGGCTGGTCGAATGGCCCGTCGTGCTGATGGGCGAGTTCGAGCGCGAGTTTCTCGAAATCCCCGACGAGGTCGTCCGCCTGACGATCAAGACCAACCAGAAATGCTTTGTCTGCCGCGACCCTGCGACCGGTAACCTGACCAACAAATTCATCCTCGTCGCCAATATCGAGGCGAGCGATGGCGGTGCGGAGATCGCGCGCGGCAATGGCAAGGTGGTGCGGGCGCGGCTGGCCGATGCGCTGCATTTCTGGACGACCGACCAGGCCGACCTGCCCGATCTGGAAAAATACCGCACGTCAGCCGAAAAATTCGATCTCGATCTGAAAAAGCCGCTCGATCAGCGCATGGCCAAGCTCGACCATCTGGGTGTGACCTTCCATGCCAAGCTGGGCACGCAAGGCGAACGCGTCGCGCGCATCGCCGCGCTGGCCGAGGAGCTTGTCGACATTATTGCGGATGCGATGGAGACGGACCTTGCGCCGATCGAGGGCGAGGGCGCCGAACTGCGCGATCTGGCACGCCGGGCGGCCCATCTCGCCAAGGCGGACCTGACAACCGAGATCGTCGGCGAGTTTCCGGAAGTGCAGGGCGCGATGGGCGCCACTTACGCGGTGCTGCAGGGCGAGCATCCCTCAGTCGCCCGCGCCATCGAGGATCATTACAAACCGCTCGGCCCGACCGACAGCGTGCCGACCGATCCGGTCGCCGTCGCCGTCGCGCTGGCCGACAAGCTCGATCTTCTGACGGGCTTCTGGGCGATCGACGAAAAGCCGACGGGCTCCAAGGATCCCTATGCGCTGCGCCGCGCCGCACTGGGCGTGATCCGGATCGTGCTGGAGAACGGGATAAGGCTGGCATTGGCGCAGCATCACGTCTCTGCCGACCTCCTTTCCTTCTTCCATGACCGGCTCAAGGTCTGGCTGCGCGACAAGGGCGCGCGGCACGATCTCATCGACGCGGTGCTGAGCGAAACCGACGACGACCTGCTGATCATCGTGCGCAAGGTCGAGGCGCTGCAGAAGCTGCTCGACAGCGAGACCGGCGCGAACCTGCGCGTCGGCACCGAACGGGCGCTCAACATCCTTGCCGCCGAGGAGAAGAAGGACGGCGCGGGCGCGTTTGACCGGCCTGTCGATCGGGCGCTTCTGGCCGAGCCGGCGGAGAAGGAACTGGCCAACGTCATCGAGGCCGTCGCGGGCCATGTCGATGACCATGTCGCGCGCGAGGATTATGAGGGCGCGTTCGCCGTGCTCGCCGAACTCCGGCCTGCGGTTGATGCGTTCTTTGATGCGGTGATGGTCAATGCCGACGACGCCAAGGTGCGGACCAACCGGCTGGCAATCCTCTCGGGCCTGCGCACCGTCACCCGCAAGCTCGCCGACTTCTCCAGGATCGCCGGATAGCAGAACGCCCGGCGCGAACCGGGCGTTGTGATGGGCATGTTTGCGGGCGCGATCAGCGCAACTGGACGTCGCGCAGCACCTCGTCGCGGATCGCATCCTCGATGATGATTTCGCGCATCCGCTCATTGTCGATGGTGCCAACGCCGCTGCTCTGCGAAAAGAGCGGTTCGTCGTCATCGTCGGCCATCTCGGCGCGATCGTCGTCGGTGGCGCCGGGCGCCTCTTCGGTCATTGGCGCGTTGAGCACGACCGGAGGCGCGGTGCCCGACGGCGCGGAGATCACGGTGGGGTCGTCGCCCGGCATATCGTCGAACTCGAAGAACAGGACCGACGGCATCGCGCTGTCCTCGTAGATCGTATATCCGGCGCCGGCGGGCGCTGCCATGATGGCGCAGAGCGCGGTACCCGCGGCGAGTGCAGACAGGCGGTTTTTCATGGAGCCGATTCCCGGTTTTCGTGTAAGACCGCCGGAAAGATTATGCCCATGTGGTTGAGATGGTGTTGCCCGACGTGGCTAACGAAACATTAACCCGGCGCACGCCAGCCGAGACGGCGATCGTGCCGGCCGATGAAGACGGCGTCCGCCGCGCCGCGCGGCTTCTGGCAGAGGGTGACATCGCCGCCCTGCCAACCGAGACGGTCTATGGTCTGGCCGCCGACGCGACGAACGGCGAAGCGGTGGCCCGCATTTTCGCGGCCAAACGCCGACCCCGATTCAACCCGCTCATCTGCCATGTCGACGGGCTCGCCATGGCGCGCGGCTTTGCCATGTTCAGCCCGCTGGCGGAGCGGCTTGCGGAGACATTCTGGCCGGGGCCGCTGACGCTTGTCTTGCCGCTCGCCGAAGGTGCGGCAATCCACCCTCTCGTGACCGCCGGCCTCGATACGGTCGCGGTGCGCATGCCGCGCGGCGTCGCGCGCGATGTGATTTCGGCGCTTGGCCGTCCCGTTGCCGCGCCCAGCGCCAACCGGTCCGGCCGGATCAGCCCGACCACTGCGCATGCCGTCCGCGAAAGCCTTGGCGACGCCGTGCCGCTGATCCTCGATGCCGGGCCGGCGCGTGTGGGCGTTGAATCCACCATCATCGATGTGTCGGGCGATACACCGGTCTGCCTGCGGCCCGGCGGCATTGCACTGGCCGATATCGAGCGCGTCATCGGCCAGCCTGTGGCGCGCGCCGGTGCCGATGCGGCGATCAGCGCGCCGGGCATGCTGCGCTCCCATTATGCACCCGGCCTGCCCGTGCGGCTGGAAGCGGCGGATGTCCGGCCCGGCGAAGCGCTTCTGGCCTTCGGCTCCGGCCAAATTGCTGGCGCCGGCAACGCCGTGGCAACGGCAAACTTGTCACCGGCCGGCGATCTCACCGAGGCCGCAGCCAACCTTTTTGCGATGCTCGATGAATTGGACCGGTCGGGCGCCGCCGCCGTAGCGGTGATGCCCATCCCCGGCGACGGGCTCGGCGAGGCGATCAACGACCGGTTGGCCCGTGCCGCAGCGCCGCGCGAGACGCCATGAAGGACGATCTGCGCAACCGCTTCATCGCGATTGTCGGCGAAGCGCATGCCGCCACCGCCGACGACGACATCGCGCCGCACCTGCGCGAGTGGCGCGCCCGCTGGACCGGCGCCGCCGCCGCCGTTCTCAAGCCGGGCACGACCTCCGAGGTCGCCGCGATCCTGAAGCTTGCCAGCGAAACCGGCACGCCGATCGTCCCGCAGGGCGGCAACACCGGCCTTGTCGGCGGGCAGATACCGGACGCATCGGGCGAAGCGATCATAGTGTCGACAAACAGGCTCAACCGCATCCGCGCCATCGATGTGGACGGCGACACGATGACGGTGGAGGCCGGTGTCGTGCTCCAGACCATTCAGGAGGCGGCCGACGCCCACGACCGCCTCTTTCCGCTTTCGCTGGCTGCCCAGGGCTCGGCCCAGATCGGCGGCAACCTGTCGACCAATGCGGGCGGCACCGGTGCGCTCGCCTATGGCGTCGCGCGCGACCTGTGCCTGGGGCTCGAAGTGGCATTGCCGACCGGCGAGGTCCTCGACGATCTCAACCGGCTGAAGAAGAACAACACCGGCTACGACCTCCGCGACCTGTTCATCGGCGCCGAAGGCACGCTGGGCATCATCACCGCCGCGGTCCTCAAGCTCCATCCCAAACCGAGCGGGCGGGCAGCGGCCTTCCTCGCCGTGCCGTCGCCGGACGCAGCGCTGACCTTCTTCCGGCAGGCCCGGTCCCGATGCGGCCCGTCGCTGACGACGTTCGAACTGATGGCGCGCATGGGCATCGACTTCACCGTCCGCCACATGCACGGCGCCCGCGATCCGCTCGATCAGGCTTATCCCTGGTACGTGCTGGTCGAACTGTCGTCCGGCCGGTCGGAGGCGGACGCGCGGGCCGAACTCGACCATCTGGTCGAAACCGGTTTCGGCGAGGGGACGCTCGCCGACGGCGTTGTCGCCGAAAGCGAAGCCCAGCGCCAGTCGCTGTGGCATCTGCGCGAAGCGATGTCCGAAAGCCAGATCCCGGAGGGCGGCTCGATCAAGCACGACATTTCCGTGCCGGTTTCGGCCATTCCGGCCTTCCTCGACGAAGCGGACATGGCCGTGGCGGCGATCGTGCCCGACGCTCGCCCGTGCCCGTTCGGCCACATGGGCGACGGCAATCTGCACTACAACATCTCGCAGCCGGTCGGGTGGGAGAAGGCGGACTTTCTGGCGACGACGGACAAGATCACACCGGCAGTGCACGCCATCGTGCGCGCCCATCACGGCTCGATCTCCGCCGAACACGGCATCGGTCAGATGAAGCGCGACGAACTGGCCGAGGTGAAATCGCCGGTGGCGCTCGATCTGATGCGGCGGATCAAGACGGCCTTCGACCCGGCCGGCATCATGAATCCGGGCAAGGTCTTGTAGGACTGGATTTCAGTCGTCGTCGCGGGCGGGCCGGTATTCGCCGGTGACGGGGTCCTTGACGAGCGTGCCGACTGCCTTGGTCTTGGCTTCCTTCTCGGCGCGGCGCACTCGGGCCGACACTTTTCCCGCTTCGCGCACGAAGGCGCGATAACCCAGATAGCCAACCACGGCGACCGCGGCAAAGAACAGAAGCTGGGGCACCGTCATCTCCCTGGTCGGTTCGCTCAAAGGCCGTAGCGGTTCCAAAGAGCACGTTCCTCAAGCGCCGACAAGAGACCGCTTGCCGCATGTGAGGTCAGCACCACGGGGTCGATCCCGCCCAGCCCCGTCACGCCGGGTTGGGGACGGCGGCCGAACAGGCCGCGCGGCATGGTCACCAGACGCAGTTGCGCCTTGTCGCCGAAACGGTCCTTGATGAAACCGCGCATATCGCCCAGATGGTCGACCAGTCCCAGTTCCCTGGCGCTGTTGCCGGCCCAGAAACGTCCGCTGAACAGATCCGGATCGTCGCCAAGCTTGTCGCCGCGCCGTTCCTTCACCAGATCGATGAATGTCCGGTGCACTTCCAGTTGAAGCGCCTTGATCCGTTCGACATCCTCTTCCTTTTCCGGCTGGAACGGGTCGAGCGTCGACTTGTTCTGGCCGGCCGTGTAGACGCGCCGCTCGACGCCGATCTTCCTGATCGCCTCGGTGAAACCGAAACCGGCCGAAATCACGCCGATCGAACCGACGATCGAGGAGGGATCGGCGATGATCTCGTCGCCGGCAACCGCGATCATGTAGCCGCCCGAAGCGGCGACATCCTCGGTGAAGACCAGCACCGGTTTTTTCTTTTCCTCGGCCAGATCGCGGATGCGCTTGTAGATCAGCCGCGACTGGACGGGAGAGCCGCCGGGTGAGTTGACGCTGATCGCCACCGCCGGGGCCTGCTTGACCGAAAATGCGCGCTCGAGAGCCGGCGCGACAGCGGCCAACGACAGGACGGGCTGCAGCGGCGAGCCGCCGGGCGAGATCATCCCGCGCAGGCGCACGACCGGAATGATCGGAACCGATTTTCGGAAGCGCGCCGGCAGGAACCGCGTCATCATCTCTTTCAAGGCCAAGATCCCTTTTTAGGTGTTCGAGCCCTATGTAAGCGGCCCTCGCCGCCGTGCAATGGGCGCCGGACGGTTGGTTCGCGTCCTGCCTCCGGATAAGGTGGCCGCGAGGGTTTGATCACCGCTTGGAGTGACGGGCCAATTGACGTTTACGTAAAAAGCCGTTAGCGCTGTGCCGGACGCGCATCGCGCCACGAGACGGCGGTTCAGGGAGGCATATATGTATCGGGCACCGGTCGACGAGATCACCCACGCACTCAAGGCGGTTTCCGGCCTTGGAGAGGCCATCGACGACGGCAAGGGCGGCGATCTGTCGGTCGATCTGATCGATGCGATCCTCGAGGAAGCGGGAAAGTTCGCCACCGACCGGATCGCGCCGCTGCATCTGCCGTCGGATCGCCAGGGCTCGCGGCTTGACGATGGGCAAGTCACGACGCCTGAAGGCTGGAAGCGGGCCTATCTGGACTGGATCGAAGGCGGCTGGAACGCGCTGCCCGGCCCCGAGGACCATGGCGGCCAGGGGCTGCCCATGTCGATGGCGATGGCAGCCATGGAGATGTGGAATTCCGGCTCGATCGCTTTCGCGCTGTGCCCGATGCTGACCATGGGTGCGATCGAGGCGCTTGAAAAGCACGCCACCGACGAGCTGCGCGCGACCTATCTGGAAAAGCTCGTCTCAGGCGAGTGGACCGGGACCATGAACCTGACCGAGCCTCAGGCCGGCTCCGATCTCGGGGCATTGAAGACACGGGCCGAACCGGCCGGCGACGGGACCTACCGTATCTTTGGCCAGAAGATCTACATCACCTATGGCGAGCACGACATGACGGACAATATCGTCCATCTCGTACTCGCACGGCTGCCCGATGCGCCGGCCGGCACGCGCGGCATTTCGCTGTTCTTGGTGCCCAAGTTCCTCGTCAACGAAGACGGTTCGATCGGCGCCCGCAACGATGTGTTCTGCAACGGGCTCGAACACAAGCTGGGCATTCACGCCTCGCCCACCTGCACGATGATCTTCGGCGACGGCAAGCATGGCGACACCGCCGGCGCGATCGGCTGGCTGGTCGGCGAGGAAAACCGTGGCCTGAACTGCATGTTCACGATGATGAACAATGCGCGCCTCGCCGTCGGCATCCAGGGCGTCGCGGTGGCCGAAGCGGCTACGCAAAAGGCTGTCGCCTACGCCAATGAGCGCACCCAGGGCCGCGCGCCGGGCTGGGACGGCGACGGCATGAGCCCGATCGTTCACCATCCCGACGTCCAGCGCAACCTGCTGACGATGAAGACCCTGACGGGGGCCGCGCGCGCCATCTGCTATGCCTGCGCGCACGCCATCGACATGTCCCGCGTCGGAACGGATGAGGAAAAGAGGTTCTGGAACGAGCGCGCCGGCCTTCTGACACCGATTGCCAAGGCGTTTTCCACCGACATCGGGTCCGAGGTCGCCTCGCTCGGCGTGCAGGTGCATGGCGGGATGGGATACATTGAGGAGGCGGGTGCGGCGGTTTTCATGCGCGATGCCCGGATCACCCAGATCTATGAGGGCACCAATGGCATCCAGGCGATCGATCTGGTCCAGCGCAAGCTGCCGCTGTCGGACGGCGCATGCGTTGCCGCCTATCTCGATGAGCTCGATGGTGTTCTGGAAACACTGCGCGCTTCCAACGATACCCGCTTTGGCGAGGCCGGCCGCTATCTGGAGGCCGCGATGGCCGATCTGCGCGCCGCGACCGACTGGATGATGGCGAAGTTGGCCGATGGCGAGAAGCAGGCGGTGCTGGCCGCCGCGACGCCCTACCAGCATCTGTTCGGTCTGACGGCCGGCGGCATCTATCTGGTCAAGGGCGCGCTCGGCTCCGCCAACGGTGTCGACCGTGCGTCTCCCGCCCGCTTCTACGCGGAAAATCTGGTCGGCCAGTCCGGCGCGCTGCGCGACCGGGTGGAACAGGGCGCGGCGAGCCTGGCGGCGGCCGGCCAGGCGCTGGTGGCATGACATGAGCGCCGCACAGGACACCGCCGAGCGGCATATTCTCGTCTCGCGCGAAGGCGCGGTCCAGATCGTCCGCTTCAACCGGCCCGACAAGAAGAACGCGATCACCCGCGCCATGTATGCCGCGCTTGCCGGCGCGCTCGCCGACGGCGAGGCCGACGATGCGGTGCGCTGCCATGTCATCTTGGGACAGCCGGGCGCGTTTACGTCGGGCAACGACCTGGCCGATTTCCTCGCCTTTGCCACGACCGGCGAGATGGGCACCGAAGTGCTCGATCTGCTGCGGCTTTTGCCGAAGCTCGAAAAGCCGGTCGTCTCCGGCGTCGACGGTCTCGCGATCGGCATCGGCACGACGCTGCACCTGCATTGCGACCTGACATTCGCAACGCCCCGGTCGGTGTTCAAAACGCCGTTCGTCGATCTGGCGCTCGTCGCCGAGGCCGGATCGAGCATGCTGGTGCCGGCCATCACCGGACATCAGCGCGCCTTCGCGCTTTTGGCCATGTGCGAGGATTTCTCCGGCGAGCAGGCCGCCGATGCCGGCCTGATCTGGAAGGTGGTTCCCGAAGACGATCTGGAGCGCGCGGTCATGGACGCCGCCAAGGTGCTGGCGGCCAAACCGCCCAAGGCGCTGGCCCTGACCAAGCGGCTGATGAAGGGCGACACCACGGCACTGGAGGCGCGGATCGCCGAGGAAGCGGACCTGTTCGCCGCCCAGCTCAAGTCAGACGAGGCGCGGCAGGCCTTCATGGCCTTCATGGCGCGCAAGAAATAGATGATCAGCGCTCCAGCAGCGCCACGGTCTCCACATGCGGTGACCAGAGGAACTGGTCGATCGGCCTCACCGTGACGATCCGGTAGCCGCCGCCGGTCAGGATGGCCAGATCGCGCGCCAGCGTCGCCGGATTGCAGGAGATGGCGGCAACCCTTTTCACACCCGAACCGGCGATCTGATGCGCCTGCGCCTCGGCCCCGGCCCGCGGTGGATCGAACACCAGACCGTCAAAGCTGTCGAGTTCCTTTGCCGTCACAGGACGCACGAACAGATCGCGCCGTTCGGTCGTCACACGGCGCAGCTTCTGCCCGGACGCCGCGCGCCATGCCGCATCCAGCGCGGCCAGCGAGGCGCGGTCGCCCTCGACGGCATGAACGCGGGCCAGCCGGGCGAGGGGCAGCGCGAACGTGCCGCAGCCGGCGAACAGGTCGGCGACCGATCTTGCGCCCTGCATGTGACCGGTGACCAGATCGCGCATGGCGCTCTCGGCATGCGCCGTCGCCTGGATGAAGCCGCCCGGCGGCAGGCCGACGGCGATCCCGTCGAAAGAAACGGCCGGCTTGCGCGTTTCGGCGAGCACCTCGTCGCGCACGGTGAGCCGTGCGAAGTTGGCTTTCAGCGCGATTCCGATTGCCGCCTGCCGTCCCGGCTCCGACAGCGTGAAGTCGCCGGCGACCGCCACATCGAGCCCCGTTTGCGTGACCGTGACGGTCATCGAGACGGGCTTCGCCGCCGCCTTCATGACCGGAAGAACGGCCTTGGCCAGCGCCTTCAGCGCCCCGCGTGCCCTGTTGAGGACCGGATCGACGACGTGGCAATCGGTCGTGTCGACAATCATGTGGCTGCCCTCGCGCTGAAATCCGAGCCGCACGCCCTCCGGCCGCCGCAGCACGGAGAAGGTGGCTCGCCGGCGGATGCGCGGCGTGCCGGGAACCAGGCTCGCGACCTTCGTTTCGATCCCTTGCCGGCTCAGCGCATCGGCCACGAGCTGCCGTTTCCACGCGCGGTAGGGAGGATCGGCCCAATGCTGGACCGAGCAGCCTCCGCAGTCGCCGAAATGCGGGCAGGACGGGGACACACGCTCTGCGGATGGCGTGACGATTTCAACGTCATGGGCGCGCGCGTCATCGAGCGTTGCGCGCACCGTCTCGCCCGGCAGCGCGCCCGGCACATAGACGGTTTGGCCGTCATGGCTGGCCAGCCCGTCGCCCTGCGCGCCCATGGCCATGATCGTCAGCTTCTCAGCCATCCTTGATGCCCCAGAGGAGGAATTCCGTATTGCCGTCGCCGCCGGTGATGGGCGAGGGGATCAACGACCGGCTGGACCAGCCGGGCCGGATACCGAGCCACGCGGCGATGTCTTCGGCGGAACGATTTGCATCGTCGGCCGCGACCAGTCCGGCCTTGCCGATCCGCTCGCGGCCGACCTCGAACTGCGGTTTGACGAGGGCGACCAGATGTGCGCCGGGCGCGGCCAGATCCAGCGCCGCCGGCAAGGCGAGCGTGAGCGAGATGAAGCTGACATCGCTGACAATGATCGACGGCCGGTCGCCGTCCAGATGGCCAATCTCGAGATCGCGTGCATTGAGCCCTTCGGTCAGGCGGACGCGCGGGTCTGCCGCAAGGGTCGGGTCCATCTGACCGTGTCCGACATCGATGGCGTGGACCCCGGCTGCGCCGGCTTCCAGCAGCACCTGCGTGAACCCGCCGGTCGACGCGCCTATGTCGAGGCACACCGCATCGGTCACCGGGATCGCAAAGGCGTCGAGCGCCGCCTTCAGCTTGAGCGCCGCGCGCGAGACATAGCCGCTGGCCGGGTCGGCGACCGCGATCTTGGTCCGGCCTGTGCAAGAATGTGCGGGTTTGGTGATTGTCTGGCCGTCCACGGTCACCGTGCCGCGCATGATCGCATCGCGCGCCCGGGCCCGCGTCGCGAAAAGGCCGCGCCGGACCAGAGTTCTGTCGAGCCGTTCGCGCGGATTGTCGTCCGGAACTGTCATGCCACCTCATCGCCGAGGTGGCGCGTTGGCGCAAGCCTTGCGGGTCAGGCCTCACCAGCCTTCAGCGGCGGCGACGATGAGGGAACCGCCATAGACAATCCGGACCTGCCGGTCGGGCAATGGCCGGGCAATCGGCTCGTGGAAGAGTGCAAAGGCCGGTCCGCTGAACGGGACCAGCGCCGGCAGGATGGCGGGCGAGGATGACTGGACAGAGTGGGTCGGCATCGCATCCGGCGTGGTGACCGGAGAGGCACCGGGCTCGATGCTGCCGCGCATCGTGCCCATGCGCAGCGCGATCCGTTCCGCCGCCGCCTGGTCGATCGACGCGTCGTGGCGCGGACCGGACGCGGCCGTCGCCGTTCCGGCGACCAGCGCCGCTGCCATGACGGCGATCGGCGCAATCTGTCTTTTTGCGTGTATGTGAGCCATGCCCGGTTCCACCCCTTCGCGTGCAGAGATAGCGAACGGGCGTTGAAACCGGGCAAAGGAACGCGGTGAAAATCCGCTCAACCGGAACGGTGAAGAAACGGCAAACGTGCGGTCGTGGACGTTTACGAGGGCAGGGGAATGAACTCCTCTTCGTCGCCCGGAACGATGTCGAAGCGTCCCGACTTCCACTCCTGCTTGGCCTGTTCGATCCGTTCCTTCGAAGACGACACGAAGTTCCACCAGATATGGCGCGGGCTTCCGATCGACGCGCCGCCGAAGATCATGAACGATGCGCCGGCCTCGGACCGGACGACGATCTCGTCGCCGGGGCGGAAGACGAGAAGCTGGTCGCCGGTGAACGCATCGCCCGCCACCGAGATCGAACCGTCGATCACATAGATGGCGCGCTCCTCGGTGTCGGCCGGGATGTCGATCTCGCCACCGGCGGGAAGCGTCACGTCGACATAGAGCGTTTCCGAGAACTGCGTCACCTGCGACGCCGCGCCGTGAAACGCGCCGATCAGCACTTTCGCATGGGCCTTTTCGCCATCGACGATACCCATCGTCTCGGCGGCCGTATTCTCGAAGGCCGGCGCGATCTCCTCGCTGCCGTCGGGCAGGGCCAGCCAGGTCTGAAGGCCCGACATGGCCCGTTTCGTCGACCGCAGTTCCTCGGGCGAACGTTCCGAGTGCACGATGCCGCGCCCGGCCGTCATCAGATTGATGTCACCCGGCGAAATGACCATTTCGGTACCCAGCGAGTCGCGGTGCCGGATGGTGCCGTCGAACAGATAGGTGACGGTGGACAGGCCGATATGCGGATGCGGGCGCACGTCGATGGCCTCGCCGGGGCGAAACACGGCTGGCCCCATGCGGTCAAAAAAGATGAACGGGCCCACCAGCTTGCGCTGTCGCGAGGGCAGGGCCCGGCGCACCTCGAAGCCGCCAATGTCCTTTGCGTTGGGGATGATCAGTTGTTCGAGCGCGTCACAGGCGAACGCATCGCCCGCCTTGGGATCGGTTCCGGGAAAAAAGCTCATGGCAGGACCTGCTGTTTGGAAGCTGTTGTGCCGACAAGATAGACGGCGATCGTCCAAATGCCATCGCGCCGCAAAGCGACACAGCGTTCACCGGTCAGCCCGTCTCAGTCGCCCAGCGGCTCGGTGCCGGTCGCCTGACCGTCCCGGCCGGTCTTGATCTTCTCGATCTTCAGTTCGGCGGCCTTCAGCAGCGTGTCGCACCGGGCGCGCAGCGCCTCTCCGCGTTCGTAGATGGCGATGCTTTCTTCGAGTGCCACATCGCCGCGCTCCAGCCGGTCGACGATCTTCTCGAGTTCCTCGAGCGCCTTTTCGAAGGAAAGGCCGGTCACGTCGGCGTTCGGTTCGGTCTCGCTCATCGTCTATCCCCACATCAGGCGCTGAATGTGCGTTCCGGCCGAGGCGGCCAGACCCTGAAGGTCATAGCCGCCCTCCAGCACGCTGACCAGACGGTTGTCGGCATGCCGCCCGGCCGCCTCGATCAGCCGTCCCGTCGCCCAGTCGAAATCGTCTTCGACAAGATTGATGTTGGCCAGCGGATCGCGGTGATGGGCATCGAACCCCGCCGATATGACGATCAGGTCGGGACCGAACGCGTCGATCGCGCTCAGCACACGGTCCTTGAACGCCAGCCGAAACGCTTCGCCGCCATCGCCCGGCGACAGGGGCGCATTGCAGATCGTGCCGTGCGCGCCAGTCTCGCCTTTCGCACCCGTGCCCGGATAGAGCGGCATCTGGTGCGTCGAACAGTAGAGCACGGTCCTGTCGTCCCAGAAGATGTCCTGCGTGCCGTTGCCGTGATGAACGTCCCAGTCGACGATGGCCACCCGTTCGGCGCCGTGGACCGCCTGTGCATGCCGGGCGGCGATAGCCGCCGTGTTGAACAGGCAGAACCCCATCGCGGTCTCTTTTTCCGCATGGTGACCCGGCGGCCGCGCCGCGACGAAAGCGTTGTCGAACGTGCCCTCGAACACGCCGTCGACGGCGGCCATCGCCGCGCCGATCCCGTGCAGCGCCGCCTCCATGCTTTTGGGTCCGGCCACCGTGTCGGCATCGACGCGCGCCAGCCCCTCTTCGGGGATCTGCGCCTTGATGCTGGAGAGAAAGCTCTCCGGATGTGCGAGAAGCACGGCGCTTTCGTCCGCGCGTGGCGCCTCGGCACGGTCGAGTTTGGCAAATGCATCCGACGTCAGCGCCTCTTCGAGGGCGCGCAGCCGGTCAACGCGCTCGGGATGCCCCGGCGGCGTGACATGCTCCTTGAAGATCGGATGTTCGAAATAGCGCGTCGCCATGGCGTCAAGGTAGGGGTTCGGAGCGCACCTTGCCATAAGGGGGTGCCGACACCCGGCGTTTTCCACCGCCGAGTTGGCGGCGGTCAGGGTTCGACGACGAGCAACCGTCCGTCTTCGGTCGCCGTGACCAGCCGCCCGGCCACCGCGATGATGGCCTTGTCGATAGGGGCGGGCAGGGCGATGTCTGCGGCGTCCGAAAGCGGCCTTCGCAGGGCGCGCCGGTCCTGCGAAGGCAGGTAGACCTCGCCACCCAGAACCGCCGACAGGCCCAGTTCGCGCGAGCCGATCAGATGATTGGAGAGATCGCGGGCGATGTCGTTGCGCTCTGTGATGCTGCCGTCGGGCGCCATGCTCATCGTGAACAGACGTCCGCCAATGTGCGGCGTACGCACACCGACGATCTCGGTGCCGCCGTCGCCGGTGCCCGGCAGGATGGCGGCGATGTTAAGCCACCGGTTGGCGCGGCCGTTTTCGCTTGACGACGCGATCTCGACCAGATCGCCGCCGCGCATGCCGTAGATGGCGACCGCCGCACCGCCCGAACGCGATGCGCGGATGGTCACGATCTCGTTTTTGCCGTCGCTGTCGAGATCGCGGATGCGCGGCGTGATGTCCTCGAACACTTGCGATTCGGGCAAAACGAATTCGACCGTGGTGCCGCCGCCGGTCTGCGCGACCAGCGATCCGCCCTCGATCGCATCGCCCAGAACGCCATGGGCGTAGCGGCCCGTCGGCCGCCCGTACCAGGCACGGACGATGTCGCCCGAGGACGCACTGGCGACGAATCCGTCGGGCAGGGCGCCTTCGGGCGCCCGTGCAGGCAGGCCGCGAATGACGTCGGGGACAAGGCAGACGCCGCCGTCGCAATCGCCCGGTTCAATGCGCAACGTGCCGCGCTCGGTCTCCACATAGCTGCCGCGCAGCGTCTCGACGATAGCGGTCACCGCGCCGTCGGTCTCGATGGCCGTAACGGTTTGGGCGGCCACCGGTGACGACAAGGCTGCCAGCAACGCCGTCGCAAGGCCGGCGCGCACCATCTTAGCCCTCCAGCCGTTCGGTCGAGGCGATCCGGATGCCAAACCCCTCAAGGCCGACATAGCGGCGCTCGCGGGTCGAATAGAGCCGGATCGACGCCACACCCAGATCGCGCAGGATTTGCGCGCCCAGGCCGATCTCGCGCCATTGGTTCTCCCGGTCGCGCGCTTCGGCATGGTCTTCGGTCAGTGGCCTTGAGCTATGGTGTGCAACACCCACCGACCCCTCGCGCAGATAGACGACGACGCCGCGCCCGTGCTCGGCGATCATCCGTTCGAGCACCGAAACCGGATCGCGGTCTCGCCCGAACACGTCATCGATCACGCTCTCCAGATGAAGCCGGACGGGCACTTCCTGGCCGTCGCGAATGTCGCCGGCAACGATCGCCAGATGCTGCATCGGATCCCAGGGCAGCGTATAGGCATGGGCGGTCGCCGGCCCGGCGGCGGTCTGAACATGGCTTTCGTCGACCCGCTCGACCAGCGTTTCCTGCCGTTGCCGGTAGGCGATCAGGTCGGCGACCGACACCATTTTCAGGCCATGGGTCTCGGCGAAACCGGTCACCTGCGGTCCGCGCATCACCGTTCCGTCATCATTGACCAGTTCTGAGATCACGCCGACGGGCGGCAGGTCCGCCAGGCGGCACAGATCCACGGCCGCTTCGGTATGCCCCGAACGCATCAAAACGCCCCCCTCGCGCGCGACCAGCGGGAAGATGTGGCCGGGCCGGTTGAAATCTTCCGCTGCCGCGTTGGGATTGGCCAGATTACGCACCGTGGCCGTGCGGTCGTCGGCGGAAATGCCGGTCGTCGTGCCGTGCCTGTAATCGACCGAGACGGTGAACGCGGTGCCTTTGGCGTCGGTGTTTTCGGCGACCATCGGGGCAAGGTTCAGCCGTTTGGCTTCCTCGGGCGGCATCGGCGCACAGACGATGCCCGATGTGTGCCTGACGATGAAAGCCATCTTCTCGGGCGTGGTGTGCACGGCAGCGACGATCAGGTCGCCCTCGTTCTCACGCCCGTCATCGTCCATGACGACGACGATCTCACCCCTTTCGAACGCGCGCAGCGCCTCGACCACGCTGGCCTGATCGTAACTCATCGCAAAACCCTCAAATCCGGCCGGTCTGGCCCCGGTGCCGCAGATAATGGTCGGCGATGGCGCAGGCCACCATCGCTTCGCCGATCGGCACCGCGCGAATGCCGACGCAAGGGTCGTGCCGGCCCTTGGTCTGAACATCGACTTCGTTGCCGTCCTTGGTCACCGACTTGGTCGGCGTCAGGATCGACGAGGTCGGCTTGACCGCGAACCGCGACACCACCGGCTCGCCGGTCGAAATCCCGCCCAGGACGCCGCCCGCCTTGTTGGTGAGGAACACCGGTCTGCCGTCATCGCCGATGCGCATCTCGTCGGCATTGTCTTCGCCGCGCAGCGTTGCCGCCTCGAAGCCGTTGCCGATCTCTACACCCCTGACCGCGTTGATCGACATAAGGTGCGAAGCGATGTCCTGGTCGAGCTTGGCATAGATCGGCGCGCCAAGCCCGGCCGGCACGCCCGTCGCCACCACCTCGATCACCGCGCCCACCGACGAGCCGTCCTTGCGGATCGCGTCGAGATAGTCGGCGAACCGATCGGCGGCTTTTGCGTCGGGGCAGAAGAACGGGTTGTGGCCGACCGCGTCCCAATCCCAGTTGGCCCGGTCGATCCGTTCGGTGCCCATCGCAACCAGCGCGCCGCGGACCTCTAGGCCGGGCACGACCTTGCGCGCCAGCGCGCCGGCGGCGACGCGCGCGGCGGTCTCGCGCGCCGACGAGCGTCCGCCGCCGCGATAGTCGCGCAGTCCATATTTGGTGTCATAGGTGAAATCGGCATGGCCGGGCCGGTAGCGGGCCTTGATCTCCGAATAGTCCTTGGATCGCTGGTCGGTGTTCTCGATCAGCATCGACACCGGTGTGCCGGTGGTGATCAGCATCTCGGGATCGTCCTCATCGGGTATGAAGCCCGACAGCACGCGCACTTCATCGGCCTCGCGGCGCTGGGTGGTGAATTTCGACTGGCCCGGCTTGCGCTTGTCGAGGAAGGACTGGATTTCCGCGACGGTGAAACGGATGCCCGGCGGGCACCCGTCGACGACACAGCCAAGCGCCGGCCCGTGGCTTTCGCCCCAGGTCGTCACGCGAAACAGATGACCGAATGTGTTGTGTGACATGATGGGTCCCGGAGTTCACCGGGCTTTTAGACGAGCCGCGCTGCGATGCAAAGCCGGTCAGCGCAGCCAGCGGCCCCGGTTTCCGTCAAACCGGTAGATATTGTCCTGGGGAATGCGGCCCCGCGCGGCGGCATCGCCTTCAATGGCCTCGAGCAGATGGCGTGTGCCGCGAATGATGCCGCCATGGGTAACGATCAGGCTGGGTCCCTGCAGGCGCTCGAGAAAGCGTCGAACACGGTCGACGGCGATCGCATAGCTCTCGCCGCCAGGCGCAACGAAGTTCCATTTGTCAGCCTCGCGCGCGGCAACCAGATGCGGCACCTCGTCGCGCAGAGCTTCCAGCGTGTGGCCTTCCCAGTCGCCGAACGTGACCTCCTTGAGATCGTCGTCGAGCGCGTAGTCGCCGGGCGCCATGCCAAGCCCTTCGCGCAGGACCTCCATGGTCGTGCGCGTGCGCGACAGCGGGCTTGCCACAAAATACCAGCCCGACCAGTCGTCGCGCTCGGCGCGCAGCATGTCGGCATAGGCGGCCGCCTGCGCGAGTCCGGTTGGGTTGACCGGAATGTCCATCTGTCCCTGAAACCGCTGCTCGCGGTTCCAGTCCGTCTCGCCATGGCGGATCATGTAGAACGGATGGGCAGGTTTCATGTCGGTCGCGCGATCGTCGCCTGCCGTTTCGCCACAGCTATTGCTTGGTGATGTCGGGTGCGTCGACAGCCTTCATTCCGACGACGTGATAGCCGCTATCGACATGGTGCACTTCACCGGTAACCGACCGCGACAGATCGCTCAGAAGATAGAGCGCGGCATCGCCAACCTCGTCGATGCTGACGGTCCTGCGCAGCGGCGAATTGTATTCGTTCCATTTCAGGATGTAGCGGAAATCGCCGATTCCCGAGGCGGCCAGCGTCTTGATCGGCCCGGCCGAAACGGCATTGACCCGAATGCCCTGCGGGCCGAGATCGACCGCCAGATAACGTACGCTTGCTTCCAGCGCCGCCTTGGCGACGCCCATCACATTGTAGTGGGGCATGACCTTTTCGGCGCCGTAATAGGTCAGCGTCAGGATCGACCCGCCATTGGTCATCAGCGGTTCGGCGCGGCGCGCAAGATCGGTCAGAGAGTAGACCGAGATGTCCATCGACCGGTTGAAGTTCTCGCGCGAAGTGTCGACGTAGCGGCCGGTCAGTTCATCCTTGTCGGAAAAGGCAACGGCATGGACCAGAAAGTCCAGCCGGCCCCATGTCTTCTCAAGATGCGCAAAGACGGCATCGAGCGATTCCGGTTCGGTGACATCCAGATGCCCGGCCACCAGCGCGTTGAGTTCCTGGGCGAGCGGCTCGACACGCCGGCGCAGCGCATCGCCCTGATAGGTCAGGGCGAGCTCCGCCCCATGGGCGGCGCAGGATTTGGCGATTCCCCAGGCGACCGACCGGTTGTTGGCAAGGCCGATCACCAAGCCGCGCTTGCCCTTCATCAGGCCCGAACCCATGCTCATAAAAACGGCTCCATGCGCCTGTCACGTCAACGACCGGGCATATCGCACGAAGGTCATGGCGCTTCAAGGCGCAATCGGAAGCGTGCGCCGGGGCTGGCTCAGCCCTTTGCGGCCTCGTCGGCAAAGAGCTGTTCCAGCGCCTCGCGGTCGGTTTCGTCGAGGGCAATGCGCACAACGGCGAAAAGATCGCCGCGCTTTCCAGACTTTTGCGGCAGGCCGCGACCGGGCACGCGCAGCGACTGGCCCGACGAGGTCCAGGGCGCGATCTTGACCGCGATCTTGCCGTCCGGCGTCTGCACCGGCGCCTTGCCGCCGCGCACGGCGGTCTTCAGATCGATGTCGGTGTCGACATGGATCGCATGACCATCGATCCGCATGCCGGGCTCCGGCCTGATGCGCACCTTTGCCAACACATCACCGCGATGGCCCGCGGGGCCGGTTTCCCCCTGGCCCTTCAGGCGGATGATCTGTCCATCCTGCACGTTTTTGGGAACGGTCACGGCGATGGTGCGCCCGTCCTTCAGCGCAAGCTTGGCCTTGCCGCCATTGATGACGTCGCGCACGGGCACCGCCAACGGCATCTCGATGTCGCGGCCTTTCGGCGGCGCGGCCCGGCCCTGGCGCGCGCGTCCGCCTCCCGGCGGATCGCCGAACATCGTCTCGAACTCGGCCTGTGAGAAGGTTCGACGGGGTCCGCCGGCCTGCGCGCCACCAAAACCGCCACCAAAGACCGTTTTGAGAATGTCCTCGGCGTCGAAGCCGCCGGCATGCGCCTGGCCCCGCGCCCGGCCGCCGAACAGGTCATCGAACCCGTCGGCGCCGGTAAAGCCGTTGCCGCCGGGATAGCCCTGGAATGTCTCGCGCCCCTCGGCGTCGATCTCGCCGCGGTCGAACTTCTTGCGCTTGTCGGCGTCGCCGACGATCTCATAGGCGCGCGAAGCCTCCGCGAAACGCTCCTTGGCCTTCGCGTTGTCCGGATTGGCGTCCGGATGAAATTGTTTCGCCAGCTTGCGGAAGGCGGATTTGATCTCCGCCGCGCTCGCCGTCTTGGAGACGCCGAGAACCGCATAAGGATCGCGCATCAATCCCTCCAATGTCAGTCGTCTGCGTCGATATGGGGAATGGAGCGGCCGAATTCCAGCCTGAAAAGCGGGACTTAGCCGGCGTCTCGCAGGGTGCCGGCTGGCGCCAGACTGCGCGTCCACCAGCCGGAACGGGGATCGAGGCACACTTCGCCCCGATAGAGCGTCACACCGTCATATGCGTTTCGGGTCGCCGAGAACCGGCGGCATGTCTGACCGGCCAGTTCGCCCTGGCTGATCTCGGTAATCGTACCGCTCGATCCGGTGGCGGCGCTCGCCCAGGGCAGCGCGCCATCGTTCAGTTTTCCCAGATCGGCGGTCGTCACGGCAAGACGGATCGTGTCCTCGTCGATCAGCCGGTCCGTGTCGCCCGGATCGCCGGCACGCTGTGGCGCGAAAGGGTCTGTGGCGATCGATGGTGCGGGATCGGCGAGCGAAATGGCGCTGGTGGAGATGGCGTCGTCAATGGGATTGCCGCCAACGGCGCAGCCGGCCAGCGCCGACAGGGCAACGACCGCAGCGGCGCCATGGCCGATCACGGCGGAACGCGCCTTGACAGCCCGCGCGCGGGCCGTGAATTTGCAGCTGAAACGATACCGAGCGGTCAAAACCGCGACCCCGACAAACCCCACACCAGAGACCGATCATGCCCGAGGCCCGGTTAACAGAACGTGATCCCGCCATGGAAGCCGACCCGTTCGGCCTGTTTGCGGACTGGCTGGCGGAGGCCGGGAAATCCGAACCGAACGACCCGAACGCACTGTCGCTGGCAACGGCCGACGAGCACGGCCTTCCAAATGTCCGGATGGTGCTCTTGAAGGGGTTCGACGAGAGCGGTTTCGTCTTCTACACGAACTTCGAAAGCCAGAAGGGCGCCGAACTGCTGGCCAACCGGCAGGCGGCCATGTGCTTTCACTGGAAGAGCCTGCGGCGCCAGGTGCGCCTGCGCGGCCCGGTCACGGTCGTCGACGACGAAGAGGCCGATGCCTATTATGCGTCGCGGCCGCGCGGCAGCCGCATCGGCGCTTGGGCTTCGCGCCAGTCTCGCCCGCTCGAGAGCAAGTTCGCGCTCGAAAAGGAAGTCGCCCGTTTCACCGCCAAATACGCCATCGGCGACATTCCGCGCCCGCCGCACTGGTCGGGCTTTCGCCTGTCGCCGACCTATGTCGAATTCTGGAAGGACGGCAAGTTCCGGCTGCACGACCGGTTCGTCTTCACGCGCGACGACGAGGGCGCGGACTGGCGGACCGCGCGCTTCTATCCGTGAGCGAGATGAAAACGCAGCCGACCGGCGCTTCGGTCGATGCGTTTTTGGCATCGGTCGAAAATGCTGGCCGGCGCGAGGATGCGGCAACGGTTCTGGACATGATGAACCGCGTCACCGGTGCGGCACCGAAAATGTGGGGCGACAGCCTGATCGGCTATGGCAACTACGAATATGCGCGCGCCGACGGCAGCCGCCACCGCTTCTTCCTGACCGGGTTCTCGCCGCGCAAGGCCAACATGGTCGTCCACGCGATGACCGGCCTGAAGAACCATTCCGATCTGCTCGAACGGCTCGGCCCGCACCGGCACTCGGTCTCGTGCCTCTATATCGGCCGGCTGAAGAACATCGATCTGGGCGTGCTCGAACAGATCGTCGCATCGGACCTTGCCGCCATGAAGCGGCTTTATCCAGCCCATTCGCTGTGAAGCCGCTCAGCTCTTCAGCCGGTAGCCCGTCTTGAAGATCCACCAGATGATCGTGCAGCACACGGTCAGGAACACCAGAATCGCGAGGATCGAGATCATTGGGCTGACATCGGAAATCTCGTAAAAGCTCCAGCGGAAGCCGCTGACAAGATAGAGCACCGGATTGAACAGCGTCACCGTCTGCCAGAAGTCCGGCAGCATGGATATCGAGTAGAAGCTGCCGCCCAGAAACACCAGCGGCGTGATCACCAGAAGCGGCACGATCTGCAGCTGGTCGAACCCGTCCGCCCAGATGCCGATGATGAAGCCCAGCAGCGAGAAGGTGACCGCCGTCAGCACGAGGAAGAACAGCATCCAGAAGGGATGGGCGATCTGCAGATCGACGAAGAGCGTCGCCGTTGCGAGGATGATCGCGCCAAGGATCAGCGACTTGGTTGCCGCCGCGCCCACATAGCCGCACAGGATCTCGAATGCCGAAACCGGCGCCGACAGGACCTCGTAGATCGTGCCGGTGAATTTGGGGAAATAGATGCCGAAAGCGGCGTTGGAAACGCTTTGGGTCAAAAGCGACAGCATGACGAGACCGGGCACGAGAAACGCGCCGTAGGACACGCCGTCGATTTCCTGCATCTGCGAGCCGATCGCCGCACCGAAAACGATGAAATAGAGCGATGTCGACAGCACGGGCGAGACGACGCTCTGGCCGATCGTGCGCCACATGCGCGCCATCTCATAGCGGTAGATCGCCAGTATCGCGCGGCCGTTCATGCCTGCTCCCTGACGAGATCGACGAAAATGTCTTCCAGCGAACTCTGGTGTGTCGAAAGATCGGCGACGCGGACGTCTGCTTCAGCAAGGCCTGCGAGAAGGCGCGTGATGCCGGTGCGCTCGGCGCTGGTGTCGTAGCTGTAGGTCAAAACCGAGCCGTCCTCGGACAGATCGAGCGCGCCCGTGAAAGCCGACAGATTGTCGGGAATACGGGTCAGCGGGGCGTGCAGGTCAAGACGCAGCGACTTCTGTCCCAGCTTGGTCATCAGTGCCGCCTTTTCCTCGACGACGATGATCTCGCCCTTGTTGATGACGCCGATCCGGTCGGCAATCGCTTCGGCTTCCTCGATATAGTGCGTCGTCAGAATGATGGTCACGCCATCGGCGCGCAATTGCTCGACCACCGCCCACATGTCCTTGCGCAGTTCGACATCGACGCCGGCGGTCGGCTCGTCCAGGAACAGGATACGCGGTTCGTGTGCGAGCGCCTTGGCGATCAGCACCCGGCGTTTCATGCCGCCCGAAAGCTGCATGATCCTGTTGTCTTTCTTGTCCCACAGCGACAGGTCCTTGAGGACCTTTTCGATATGGGCCGGATTTGCCGGTTTGCCGAACAGGCCGCGCGAGAAGGAGACGGTCGACCACACGCTCTCGAACGCGTCCGTCGTCAGTTCCTGCGGAACCAGCCCGATCAGGCTGCGCGTCTTGCGGTAATCGTCGACGATGTCGTGGCCGGCCACCGTCACCGTGCCCGACGAGGCGTTCACGATCCCGCAGATGATCGAGATCAGCGTCGTCTTTCCGGCGCCGTTGGGGCCGAGCAGCGCGATGATCTCGCCATCGACAATGTCGAGATCGACGCCCTTGAGCGCCTGGAAGCCGTCCTCATAGGTCTTGGTGACCGACTTTGCCGATATCAGGATTTGGTCTTGGCTAGTCATGATCGCGACCGTTGGGAGGATGCGCAGCGGACATAGACCGTTTGCCGCCCATTGCAACCCATGGCCCGTTGAGACCGGAACCGCGGACGGTGCCCGGTCCGCGATTGGACATAATGCCCGAGGCGATGTTAGCACCCGGTCTCGGCATGCCTGCCGCTTGTCTTTGGTTGCTAACGGTCATGTGCGTGTCGCAATCGGACATGCCCGACCGCACCGTCCGTCCAATGATCCCCGCCAGCCCGCAATGGAGCACCAACCCATGATGTCGCCGTTTGAACCCAGCATGAATGCCGATGCAGACCGCGCCGGCATGGATGACACGCTCGGTGGCCGCATCGTTTCGGCGCGCGAGACGGCTGGATTGACAACGGCGCAATTGGCACGGCGGCTGGGGGTCAAGTCCGCCACGCTGCAGAACTGGGAAAGCGACCGTTCCGAACCTCGATCCAACAAGCTGTTCATGCTGGCCGGACTGTTGAACGTGTCGCCGACATGGCTGATCAACGGGCTGGGCGAGTCGCCCGGCGAGGCGTTGCCGGCAAGGTCCGACGTCATGCTCGCGCGCGAACAGTTGATCGAATTGCGCGGCCAGGTGGAAAAGCTGACTGGCAGCATCGATCAGGTTCTGGCCCGCCTCGACGGCATGTGAAACCCGCACGACGGCCGCCAGATGACTGAAATTTGACGGCATTTTACGCTTCCTTAAGACGACCCGCATAGCGTTTGGTCAGTGGGGACAACGGCCTGCATTCCGCAGGATGGACGCGATGCCTTCGGGCAGCGCGCTCGCGGAATCGATGCCGGTGGTTTTCCAGCCGGGGCGGCGCATCTGCAAAGTGGCCGCCTGTCGTTCGTTCGGTCTGCAAGGTGGGCTTACATGGCCGGTAAAGGTGGCAAGAAGAAAGACGCGTCGGACGCGCCGAAAAAGGCCGGTTCGGGCAAGCTTCTTGCGCTCGTCCAGATGGTCTGCGCCGTTCTGGCGGTTCTATCGGCCGCAGTCCTCGCACTGGGCGCGTTCGATGTCGGATCGGCTGCACTGGCCGACACGTTGCATGCGATCGCTCTCGTCCCGATCGCGCTTCTCGTCATCTGCGGTTTCGCCGTCATATTCACCGCGTCGGGCGTTCGAGCCGGCGAACTGCGTCGTCTGGAAGAACAGCTTGCCGAGATGGAGGCCCGGCTTGACGGCCGCGTCGCCGAGGCCGTGGCCAAGGTCGATACCCATATCGGCGACGACTATCAGGCCGTGCGCGAGAACAACAAGCTGCTTCAGGAAAAGCTCGAACAGTTCCAGCAGGCCGAAAAGAACAAGATGGTCGAGGAAATGGACAAGCTGCGGGCTCTGAACGGCGAACTCGAAGAGCAGATCAAGAAATGGGCGATCGGCTCGGTCGATCAGCTCGTCTCCGAACCCGGAACCGAAGGCATAAAGGTCGCGTGATCCCGTTCCAAGCGAGGATCACGACGTCCAGTCATGATTGAAAGCGCCAAAGCGATGTCAGCACGTTCGACCGCAAAATCCGCAGCCGCCCGGCCTGCTTCGGGGACGAACGACGATCCGTTCCGCTTCGCCGCCGAAGCGCTGAGCCTGGCCGAAGCGCACGGCACGCCGCCCGAGCCAGACACGTTCAAGGTCTGGTACACCTACGCCGCCGGTTCGAGCCTGGTGCTCAACGAGCGCATCGAAAGCCTGATGGCCGGCGGCGCAAAGCCCAGCGTCTACGATCTGTCGGCGCTCAACGGCGAAATCATCGAGGCCGACACGAATGGCGACATCGCGCGGATGCAGGCCGACGAGGGCCTGCGCAAGGAAATGGAGGAGGTACAGACCTTCATCCGCTCCTATCTGCAGACGACCGAGCGCTACGAGGGCGCGATCGACAACACCACCAAATCGCTGAGCGAGGCATCGACCGCCGCCGAGGTCGAAACCGTGATCGCGCTGATGATTCGCGAAAACCAGCGCGTTCGCGCCCAGACCCAGCAGCTCTCGGCAAGCCTGCGCGAGACGCAGGAAGAAATCATTCGCCTGCAGGACAAGCTCAGCCAGTCCCGCAGGGCGGAGATGCAGGACCCGATGACGGGTCTCAACAATCGCCGCTTTTTCCAGCACGCCATTGCCTCGGCATTGGCGCATGCCGAAACGTTCAGGCAGCCGATGAGCTTCGCGATTGCCGACATCGACCACTTCAAGTCGGTCAATGACCGCTTCGGCCACCAGATCGGCGACGAGATCCTGAAGTTCGTCGGCACGTTCATCAACAGCAAGCTGAAAGAGCACGGCACGGTGAGCCGCTATGGCGGCGAGGAATTCGCGATCATTCTGCCCAACATCACCATCGAGACGGCGCGGGCGCTGCTCGAAGATGTCAAGGAAGGGATTGCAGGCGCGCGCCTGGTCACCTCAAAGACAAACAAGCCGATCGGCACGGTAACCGTGTCGTTCGGCGTGTCGAACTGGGCCGATGGCGACGATATCGACACGCTGTTCGAGCGCGCCGACCAACAGCTCTACGAAGCCAAGAGCGCCGGCCGTAACCTGGTGCGCTGACACCCCTTTGCTTTGACACTGGTCAATGACGGGCACTCGTGCTGTGGTCCATCTTGCAGGACGCAACGAGAGGACCGGCGGTCATGGCATTCGAGGGATTGATCACACGGCTGAACATGCTCTTTCAGGAGATGGAGAACCAGCCGGCGGATGCGACCGAACTGCTGATGCAGGTCCATCTCGAACTCGAGCAGATGAAGGCCGAGGGCCTGCCGCTGCCCCAGGATCTGGTCGATCTGGAGAAGCGGCTTGAGGCCGAGTTCACCAGACGCGGCGTGGACCGGCCGGCCTGAGCGGCCCGATCATCCGAACCGTGCGTGCCTGTCGCGACTGTAGGCAAGCCAGGTCAGCGCGAAAAAGCCCAACGTGAAAACCAGCAGCGCCGCGACGCTCGTGTGCGGAATGGAACGGCCATCGACCGCAGCCCATGCCGCTTCGCCCATGTGCCGCGTCGGCGTCCATCGCGAGATGGCGTCGATCTGCGGGGGCAGGGCGGGCGGCGGCACCCACAGCCCGCCAAGATAGGCCATGGGAAGGAAGATCAGGTTGGCCACCGCGACGACCGAATGCCGCGATGCGAGATAGCCGAGCGCCGTACCCATGAAGGTCGCCGGCACGGCAAGGATCAGGCAGACGGCAAGAAGCCGTGCCTGGGTGGCCGCGTCGATATGCAGGTCACCGACCAGACGTGCCGTCGCCAGTACGAGCGCGACGGCGGCGATCGAGAAGACCAGCGCGGCGCAAAGCCGCGCCGTCCATGACGCGAACGGCCGCGCCGGCAGGCTGCGCTGCCAGACGGCAAACGCGCTCTGGCGGTCCTCGGCGATGCTGACGCCGAACTGGAAGAACGCAACGCCGAGAACCGCATAGACCGCAAAAGATGCCGCCGCATAGACTGCGGCGATGCCGCCGCCGGCGTTTTGTGCGCCAAAGAATGCATAGAGCATGGCCGGGAACAGGATGGTCGGGACCCAGAAGCCGGGCTGGCGGAGAAGGCGCTTGAATGTCTGCGCCAGGTTGGCGCGAAGGATGGCCATCAGATCGTCCTTTCCATTTGCATCTGGGCAATGGTTTCTTTCAGGTCGAGCGGTTCGATGTGAATGTCCTGCAGGGCCGGCAGGTCGGCGATGAGGCGCCGGGCCAGGCCATCGCTGTCGGCTGAGACACCGCTCCAGCGCTGGCCCTCGCGTTGGAAGTGTTCGTCCAGCCAAGACGGCACGGGCGCGCTTTCGGCAATTCTGAAGCTGATCCGGTTGCGCCCGGCCTTCCGGCGGATGTCGTCGAGCGTCCCCTCGAGCAAAAGCCGGCCGCGGTCGATCATCACGATCCGGTCGCAGATATGCTCGATTTCGTCCCAATGATGCGATGTCAGCAAGAGGCTGCCGCCGCCTTCCACATAGGCGCGCGCATAGGCCTTGAACATGTCCTGCCCACCGGTGTCGAGACCGGCGGTGGGTTCGTCGGCGAACACCAGGTCGGGATTGCCGACAAAGGCGAGGGCCAATGCGACGCGCCGCAACTCGCCGCCGGAGAACCCGTCCATGCGGCGGTCGACCAGCCGTTCCAGGCCGAACGCGGCGACAAGTTCGCCGACCGGCTGGGGCCGTTCGAAATGTGCGGCTGCGTAGGCCAGAACTTCGCGCGCCGACATCTGCTCGGGAAAGTCGGCATTCTGGGGCGTGATGCCGACATGGCGGCGCGCCGCAACCGAGCCGGCCGGATGGCCGAAGATTTCGGCCCTTCCGGTGTCGGCCCGTCGCAGCCCCTGCAGCAATGTCAGGGCGGTCGTCTTGCCTGCGCCGTTGGTGCCGATCAGTCCCAGAGCCTCGCCCCGGCGCAGCTCCAGGGAAAGGTCGGCCAGCGCTTCGATGCGGCCGAAGCGCTTGCCCAGGCCGCGCGCGCTGATCGCCGGAACCGTCGCGGTCCGGCCCGTCATCGCATCCATTGTTCATCTCCATGCAAATGGTCGATGCGGAGCGAAAACCATCGCGTTGCGCAGGCCCGCAAGACCGATTACGTGAACCGCATGGACAAGTTCGCGAACGACGGGCCGTTGGCGTTCACGCTGCGCGAAATGCATGGTCTCGGCCGCTCCGCCCGGTTCTGGGCCGTGCTGGCCGGCATCATCGCCATTCTCGGTCTTGCCGGCCCGTTCGACAGTTTCGGCACGATGTCGCTCGCCGAAAGGACGCTCTATTGGGCGCTGGTGGTTGTCGGCAGTTTCGCGCTTGGCCTGTTCGTCTCGATGCTGACGACGGTCACAGCCGAGGGGGCCGGCCTTTCGCCGCCGCTGGCGCTGCTGCTCGGTTCACTCACAGCCGCCCTGCCGATCGCCGCTTATAACGGTCTTGTTCAAGCGGCGTTTTTCGGCAGCGGCTTTCCGGCCGAGTTTGTCGAGGTTTTGCCCTATGCGCTGGCGATATCGGTGATCGTCGCCTTCACCTACCGCTATGCGCGTGGCGACGAGCCCGAACCGCAAGCCGTTGCGACCGCCGGAACAGGCGCGCCCGTACCCTCGGCCGTTCTTGAAAAACTGCCCCAGCGGATCGGCATGGACGTGATCTCGGTGCAGGCCCAGGACCATTATGTGAAGGTGACGACGCCGCTCGGATCGGCGCTCGTCCTGATGAAGCTCAGCCACGCAGAGCGCGACCTGACCGGCCTCGATGGTCTGCGCGTGCACCGCTCCTGGTGGGTGCGCAAATGCCATGTGCGGCGCCTGGTGCGCACCGACGGCAAGCTGCTCGTCGAAACCAGCGACGGATCATCCATTCCTGTCGGCCGCAAGTATCGCGAGCAGGTTCTGGCGCTGTTCGAGACCGGTTGAACGAGGCCGCGGGGCTTCGTGCCGCAGCGGGCGCTCAGGCTGCCTCGGTGCCGCCCACCGTCATCTGGTCCATTCTAAGATGCGGCTGGCCGATGCCGACCGGCACGCCTTGGCCGCCCTTGCCGCAGGTGCCGATGCCATTGTCGAGCGCCAGATCGTTGCCGATCATCGACACGCGGTGCATTGCGTCCGGCCCGTTGCCGATCAGCATCGCGCCCTTGACCGGATAGGTGATCTTGCCGCCTTCGATCTTGTAGGCCTCGGTACAGGCGAAGACGAACTTGCCCGATGTGATGTCCACCTGGCCGCCGCCGAACGAGACCGCATAGATGCCGTCATCGACCGAGGCGATGATCTCCTCGGGCCTCTTGTCGCCGCCGAGCATGTAGGTGTTGGTCATGCGCGGCATCGGCACATGCGCATAGGATTCCCGCCTTCCGTTGCCCGTCGGCTTCATGCCCATCAGCCGCGCGTTCTGGCGGTCCTGCATGTAGCCGACCAGCTTGCCGTCCTCGATCAGCACATTATAGCCGGACGGCGTGCCCTCATCGTCGATCGTCAGCGAGCCGCGGCGGGACTCGATCGTGCCGTCATCGACCACGGTCACGCCCTTGGCCGCCACCTGTTCGCCCATCAGCCCGGCAAACGCCGATTGCTTCTTGCGGTTGAAATCGCCTTCCAGCCCGTGCCCGACGGCTTCATGCAACATCACGCCGGGCCAGCCATTGCCGAGCACGATGTCAAACGTGCCGGCCGGCGCCGGGCGAGCATCGAGGTTCACCAGCGCCTGGCGCAGCGCGTCGTCGGCGGCTGTTTGCCAGCTCTCGGTGGCGATGAAATCGCCGAACGACTGGCGTCCGCCCATGCCGTGACTGCCGGTTTCCTGCCGGTCGCCCTCGCCAACGATCACCGAGACATTGACCCGCACGAGCGGACGGATGTCTTGGGCGAAATGGCCGTCGGCGCGCAGGATCTCGATCATCTGCCATGTGGCCGCCAGCGACACCGAGACCTGGCGGACGCGATCGTCCTTGCCGCGCAGATAGGCGTCGATCTGCTGCAGCAGCTTGACCTTGGCCTCGAACGACGGCTCGCCGATCGGGTTCATGTCGCCGTAAAGCTTCTTGTTGGTGCGCGGCGGTGCGTCCGAATAGGTGCCGGAATGGCCGCGCGTGACCGCGCCGACCGCACCGGCGGCCCTTTTCAGCGCGGCTTCGGAAAGATCGTCCGATTCGGCATAGCCGACCGCTTCACCCGCCACCGCGCGCAGACCGAACCCTGAGGCTGTGTTGAACGAGCCGGTCTTCAGCCGCCCATTGTCGAACATCAGGGTTTCGGATTCGCGGTACTCGACGAACAGTTCGCCATCGTCGGACTGCCGCAAGGCGTCGGCGACAAGAGCCCTCAGGCGGTCCTCGGACATGTCGAAACGGGAAATCAGGCCGGTCTGCATGGCGGCGCCTTTCGGTAACGGGAACGATGCTGGAGCAGACATAAGGCGCCGGCGCCCCGGTTTCGAGCCCCGCCGCCAGCTCACCGGCAGGTCAGGGCAGCGCCTCGAACCCCTCGGTGAAGCCGCCGAGGTCCACCGGTATGCCGATGCCTTCCTCGGGCGTATCGAAGACGGTGAACGTCGCCTCGGTGCCCGCTTTCAGGCTGTTGAGCAACTGGTCTTCCAGGATGACCTCGGCATAGCATCCATCGGTGAAACAGCGCACGAAATAGGCCCGGCCCATATCGTTGCCGTCGATATGCAGGCCCAGGCCATTGGGCAGCAGCACGCCGAGCGGCACCTGGATGCGCAGGATCTGCGCGGTGCGGTCGGCAGTCTTGAAGGCGACCACCGACAGGCCGAGCTCGGGGCGGTCGTCGGCGACGACGTTCTGGATCAGGACGCACTGTTCGTTCTGCGCGCCCGCCGGCGTCGAGCATCTGAGCTGCCACCAGCCATATTCGCCGCGCACCGTATCCTGCTGGGCATGAACTGTGGACGGCAGCGCGGCTATTGCCAGCGCCACAAGGGCCAGCGCGGCGATGCTGCGTGCAAAGCGGGAAATCCGGCGGAAAACAACCACGGCAGGGTCCTGTCTGTCGTCGCGAATCACATTGCGCCCGTTTTTACGACGCGCGGACGCCAATTGATACGGCGTCGCGCGTTCACAAATCGGTCCAACCGGGCGAAATAAAGGCGAAAGGCCGGGCGGCGGCGAAGATCCCATCCGATGAGGCAGGTCCGGCATGCCGCAGCCGCCAAACGCTGCCCCGGCGCCCGTGAGCGCCGATATGACGCACAATTAACCCACTGTCGCAGTTGCGGCGCGTCATTTATTATGGTTCTAAGCCGCCGAACTGGAAAGGGCAGTCAACGGCCTCCAGTGACATGTTGGGAGACGAAGCGTGTTGATGAAGACGACCCGCCGCCTGTGCGCCACAGCCTTTGCAACTTTTGCGGCGCCGATCGTGGCTTTTGCCGCGCAGCCCGAGCCCTGGCAACTGGGCTTTCAGCCGGCCGCCACCGGCATCATGGAAGAAATCGCCTGGTTCGAGCGCTACACGCTCGTTTTCCTCGTGCCGATCGTCTTCCTGGTTCTGGGCCTTCTCGCCTGGGTGATGATCCGCTATCGCGCCTCGGCCAATCCGGTGCCCTCGCGCGTCAGCCACAACACGACAATCGAGGTGATCTGGACCGTCGGGCCGATCGTCATACTGATCCTTCTGGCCGTGCCGTCCTTCCAGCTTCTGACCAAGCAGTACTCGCCGCCCGGCGAACCGGCCATGACCGTCAAGGCCATCGGGTATCAGTGGTACTGGGGCTACGAATACCAGACCGAGGACGGCGAAGAGGTTGCCTTCGATCAGATTCTGCTGCGTGACGAAGACCGCGCCGGGCTGGGCAAGGAAGACGAGGCCGCTTATCCGCGCCTTCTGGCCGTCGACAACGAACTCGTCGTGCCGGTGGACACGACGGTTCGCCTGCTGGTGACCGCCGCCGACGTCCTGCATTCATGGACCATTCCAGCCTTCGGCGTGAAGATGGACGCCGTGCCGGGCCGTCTGAACGAGACCTGGTTCCACGCCGACCGCGAGGGGCTCTATTATGGCCAGTGCTCAGAACTGTGCGGCAAGGACCATGCCTACATGCCGATCGCGGTGCGCGTCGTCAGCGAGGCCGACTACGACGCGTGGCTGACCGCCGCGCGCGACGATCTCGATGAAGCCAACCGCACGCTGATCGCGACGATCGAGGCGCGCCGCACCCTGGCGAACCTCGCCGAGTAAGCTTGACCGTTTAGGATTTTTCAGGAGCCAATTTCATGTCGGACGCAGTGGCCCACGACGCCCACGACCACGGTGCCCCCAAGGGCTTCGTCAATCGCTGGCTTTTCTCGACCAACCACAAGGATATCGGCACGCTCTATCTGATCTTCGCGATCATCATGGGCGTGTTCGGCGGGTTCCTGTCGGTGATGATGCGCTGGGAACTGGCCGAGCCGGGCATCCAGATCTTCCACGGGCTGGCCTCGATGGTCTACGGCGTCGAGGGCGACGCGGCAATCGATGCCGGCAAGCAGATGTACAACGTGTTCACGACCGGCCACGGCCTGATCATGATCTTCTTCATGGTCATGCCCGCGCTGATCGGCGGCTTTGCCAACTGGATGGTGCCGATCATGATCGGCGCGCCGGACATGGCCTTCCCGCGCATGAACAACATCTCGTTCTGGCTTCTGCCGCCGGCTGCGATCCTGCTGGTCATTTCCATGTTCATGCCGTCCGCGCCCGGCGCCTATGGCGTCGGCGGCGGCTGGACCATCTATCCGCCCTATTCGACGACCGGCCAGCCCGGACCGGCGATGGATTTCGCCATCCTGTCGATCCACATCGCCGGCGCGTCTTCGATCCTGGGCGCCATCAACTTCATCACCACCATCTTCAACATGCGCGCTCCTGGCATGACGCTTCACAAGATGCCTCTGTTTGCCTGGTCGGTGCTGATCACCGCATTCCTTCTGCTGCTGTCGCTGCCGGTTCTGGCCGGCGCGATCACCATGCTTCTGACGGACCGCAATTTCGACACGGCCTTCTTCGATCCGGCCGGCGGCGGCGACCCGATCCTGTTCCAGCACCTGTTCTGGTTCTTCGGCCACCCCGAGGTCTACATCCTGATCCTGCCGGCCTTCGGCATCGTCAGCCACATCGTGTCGACCTTCTCGCGCAAGCCCATCTTCGGCTATCTGGGCATGGCTTACGCGATGGTGGCGATCGGCGTGGTCGGCTTCATCGTCTGGGCCCACCACATGTACACGGTCGGCCTGTCGCTCGACACGCAGCGCTATTTCGTCTTCGCCACCATGGTCATCGCGGTGCCGACCGGCATCAAGATCTTCTCGTGGATCGCGACCATGTGGGGCGGTTCGATCGAGCTGCGCACACCGATGCTCTGGGCCATCGGCTTCATCTTCCTGTTCACCGTGGGCGGTGTCACCGGGGTCCAACTCGCCAATGCCGGCCTCGACCGCTCGCTGCACGACACCTATTACGTGGTCGCCCACTTCCACTACGTGCTGTCGCTCGGCGCGGTCTTCGGCATCTTCGCCGCCTGGTACTACTGGTTCCCGAAGATGTTCGGCTACATGTACAATTCGACCATTGCGCGCCTGCATTTCTGGGTGACCTTCGTGGGCGTCAACCTCATCTTCTTCCCGCAGCACTTCCTGGGTCTGGCCGGCATGCCGCGCCGCTACATCGACTATCCCGATGCCTATGCGGGCTGGAACATGGTCTCGTCCTGGGGCTCGTACCTTTCGGCGATCGGCGTGCTGATCTTCCTTTACGGCGTGTTCGAGGCCTTTGCCCGCAAGCGCGAGGCAGGCGCCAACCCGTGGGGCGAAGGCGCGACGACGCTGGAGTGGCAGCTTTCCTCGCCGCCGCCCTATCACCAGTGGGAGCAGCTCCCGCGCATCAAATAGGCGCGATCACGCGCAACGACCCGGCGCCCATGTGCCGGGTCGCGCAGAACAGGAGCCGGACAACCGGCCCGCCGGATCAGGAACAAGTCCGGCACGCATCGTTGGGACAGGGTTCGCCGCATGGCACTCGTTGAAGACATCAAGACATCCGCACCGCGCATCTCCGAGGCGACGCCGCGCGACTATTTCGACCTGCTCAAGCCGCGCGTCATGTCGCTCGTCGTCTTTACCGCGCTGGTCGGGCTTCTCGTCGCGCCCGGCGCGATCAACCCGTTCATCGGCGCGGTCGCCATTCTGGCGATCGCCGTCGGCGCCGGCGCGTCGGGCGCGCTCAACATGTGGTACGATTCAGACATCGATGCGGTGATGAGCCGGACGGCAAAGCGGCCGATCCCCTCGGGCCGCGTCAGCCGGGACGAGACGCTTGTGTTCGGTCTGATCCTGTCGGTGCTGTCCGTGATGACGCTGGGGCTCGTCACCAACTGGGTGGCGGGCGGTCTTCTCGCCTTCACCATCTTTTTCTACGCCGTCATCTACACGATGTGGCTGAAGCGTTCGACGCCGCAGAACATCGTCATCGGCGGCGCGGCAGGCGCGTTCCCGCCGATGATCGGTTGGGCTGCCGTGTCCGGCACGATCACGATGGAATCGGCCGTCCTGTTCATGATCATCTTCCTTTGGACACCGCCGCATTTCTGGGCGCTCGCCCTGTTCAAGCTGCGCGACTATGAGATCGCCGGCATGCCGATGATGCCGAACGTTGCGGGTGAGCGGCACACCAAGCTTCAGATGCTCGTCTATTCGGTGCTTCTGGCAGCCTTCGCCGTGCTGCCATGGCCGCTTGGCTTTGCAGGCCCCGTCTATGGCGTTGCGGCGATCCTTCTGGGTGCCAACTTCATCCGCCATGCGCTGGCTGTCTGGAAGATGGCCGACGGCGATGCGACGATGGTGCCGGCCAAGAAGATGTTCGGCTTCTCGCTGACCTATCTGTTCGCCATCTTCGCCGTCCTGTTCGTCGAGACCGTCCTGATGCGGGTGCTGGCGTGAGCGCGATGTCCGAGAACCGTCCGACCATCGAATTGACCGAGGCGCAGCAGAAGGCCCGGCGCAAGCGTTCGATCGCCTTGGCCATTTGCCTGGCCGCCTTCGTCGTGATCTTCTACGCTGTGACCGTGATCAAACTCGGCCCAGACGTCCTCAACCGACCGCTTTGACGGAACACCGATGAGCAGCCTCGATACCGCCACAGACCCAGTCAAGCACCGCGCCAATGTGCGGATCGCGCTTGCATGTCTGGCGTTCTTCGCGAGCATGATCGGGCTCGCCTATGCGTCCGTGCCGCTCTACGAACTGTTCTGCCGCGTGACCGGCTATGGCGGCACGACGCAGGTTTCCGACACGGCGCCGGTTCAGGTGCTCGACCGGACCATCAATGTGCGCTTCGATGCCAACACGGGTTCGGGTCTGGGATGGGACTTCAAGCCTGTCGACAGGTCGGTCACGCTGAAGATCGGCGAGACGACCCAGGTCGCTTATTCGGCGCGCAACTGGCGCGACATGGCGACGACCGGCTCGGCGACGTTCAACGTCACGCCGCAGGCCGCCGGCGCCTATTTCAACAAGATGGAATGCTTCTGCTTCACCGAGACGACCCTTGAGCCCGGCGAAGAGATGGAAATGCCGGTGGTGTTCTTCATCGACCCGGCCATCGTCGACGCCAAGGAACTCCAAGGCGTTTCGACGATCACCCTGTCCTATACATTTTTCAAGATCGACGAGGCCGAAGAGACCGCGGGGATATCGCCGGCCGACACCGAACCGACCTCATCGGGCCTCGACACTGAGCGGCCCGCAAAAAGCGACAATCGGGGATAGACATCATGGCTGACACGCACGCCAAGAACCACGACTACCACATTCTCGACCCGAGCCCGTGGCCGCTGATCGGTTCGATCGGCGCGCTGATCATGGCAATCGGCGCCATCGGCTGGATGCAGGCGGGCCAAGGCAACGAGTTTTCGCTGCTGGGCATCCCGATGGCCAATCCCTGGACCTTCCTGATCGGCACGCTGATCGTGCTCTACACCATGTTCGGCTGGTGGTCGGACACGGTGCGCGAATCGCTGCAGGGCCACCACACCAAGGTCGTCTCGCTGCATCTGCGCTACGGCATGATCATGTTCATCGCCTCGGAGGTGATGTTCTTCGTTGCCTGGTTCTGGGCGGTGTTCGACGCAAGCCTGTTCTTCAACGAGGCGCAGCAGGTCGGCCGCATGGAATACACCGGTGGCCAGTGGCCGCCGGCCGGCATGGAAGTGCTCGATCCGCTGCACCTGCCCCTCTACAACACGGTGATCCTGCTGCTGTCGGGCACGACGGTCACCTGGGCGCACCATGCCCTGCTGCACAATGATCGGCAGGGCCTCAAGATGGGCCTTTGGCTGACCATTCTGCTGGCCATCCTGTTCACCTGCGTACAGGTCTACGAATTCGTCATCGCGCCCTATTCCTTCTCCGAATCGCTCTATGGCGCGACCTTCTTCATGGCGACCGGCTTCCACGGCTTCCACGTCTTCGTCGGCACGATCTTCCTGATCGTCTGTCTGGTGCGGGCCTATGCCGGCCAGTTCACGCCCGAGAAGCACTTCGGGTTCGAGGCGGCGGCATGGTACTGGCACTTCGTCGACGTGGTCTGGCTGTTCCTGTTCTTCGTGGTCTATATCTGGGGCACTTGGGGCGCACCGATCTACCACCACTGATCGGCGCGAACGAACTTCGAACCGGGCGGTCGTGGCAAACCATGATCGCCCGGTTTCGCATTTGAGGACCGACCATTTGGGACAGACAATGGCAGACGCGGCTGCACAGGACCGTCGCCGGTTTCCTTGGCTGATGATTGCATGTGCGGTACCGGCGCTGATTGTCCTTGTATTGCTCGGCAATTGGCAGGTGCAGCGGCTGGCGTGGAAGGAGGACCTGCTCGCGACCATCGACGCCCGCCTGTCCGCGGCTCCCGTTCCCGCCGGCGAGATCGCGCGGCTTGTCGCCGACGGCGCCGACATACGCTACCGGCCGGCGACCGCGACAGGCACCTTCGACCACGCCAACGAGCGGCATTTCTTCGCGACCCACAAGGGCGCTTCGGGCTATTACGTCTATACGCCGCTCCTCATGGACGATGGGCGCATGCTGCTGGTCAATCGGGGCTTTGTGCCGTTCGATCTCAAGGAACCGGCAACGCGTGCCGAGGGGCAGGTCGATGGGCCGGTAACGGTCACCGGGCTTGCGCGCGAGCGGCTCGATGGCAAGCCCTCCTTCATCGTGCCCGACAACGATCTGCCGGCCAACATCTATTACTGGAAGGACTGGTCGGCGATGGTCGCGAACGCCAGCTATGATGCGGGCAGCGTTCTGCCGTTCTTCCTCGACGCGGACGAGGCCGCCAACCCGGGCGGCTGGCCCGTCGGCGGCGTCACGCGGATCGACCTGCCCAACAATCACCTGCAATATGCCCTGACTTGGTACGGGCTGGCCGTCGTGCTCGTCGTGGTGACCGGCCTGTTCATGTGGGGGCGGGCTCGTCCGCCCCACTGAAATGCGGGTCGTCATGTACGCTTGACACGCGGCTTGGCCGGTCCCTAATCAGGAGGGACAACGGGAACGATCATGAACGTCCACGCCACCAAGCCGCCGCTGACGATCCGCCTGTGCGAGCCGCGCGGCTTCTGCGCCGGCGTCGATCGGGCGATCCAGATCGTCGTGCTGGCGCTGAAAAAGTATGGCGCGCCGGTCTATGTGCGCCACGAGATCGTGCACAACAAGTTCGTCGTCGAGGCGCTGCGCGAGCGCGGCGCGGTGTTCGTCAAGGAGCTTGGCGACATTCCGGCCGAACATGTCGATCGGCCGGTGGTCTTCTCCGCCCATGGCGTCCCCAAATCGGTGCCCGCCGATGCCGAGGCGCGAAACCTTCTCTATCTCGACGCCACATGCCCGCTCGTCTCCAAGGTGCACAAACAGGCGATGCGCCATCAGCGTCTGGGCCGACACGTCCTTCTGGTCGGCCATGAAGGCCATCCCGAGGTCATCGGCACGATGGGTCAATTGCCCGAGGGTGCCGTGACCCTGGTCGAGACCGTCGAGCAGGTGGCTGACCTGACGGTGCCTGACGACGACAAACTCGGCTTCGTCACCCAGACGACCCTGTCGGTCGACGACACCGCCGATGTCATCGCTGCCCTGCAGGCCCGGTTCCCGGCACTGACCGCCCCGTCGTCCGAGAGCATCTGTTACGCGACCACCAACCGCCAGGAAGCGGTCAAGAAGGCGGCGCCGGGCACGGAGGTCTTTCTGATCGTGGGCGCGCCGAACTCGTCCAACTCGATGCGGCTGGTCGAAGTCGCCAAACGCCACGGCGCGCGTGATTCGATGCTGGTTCAGCGCGCCGCCGATATCGACTGGCGGCGCATCGGCGATGCCGCGACGATCGGCATGTCCGCCGGCGCCTCCGCTCCGGAGATCGTCGTCGAGGAGATCATCGACGCTCTGCGCGAACGCCGCAATGTCACCGTCGACATCGCCCTGACCGCCGAGGAGAACGAGCTGTTCCCGGTGATGCGGTCGTTGCGCGACACGCCGCTGACCGGGCAAGATATGGCGTTCCTCAACGGCTCATCCAGCTGACGGAACAGCGCTTTGGCGGTCTATACCGATATCTCAGAGGACGAACTGCGCGATTTCATCGCCCCTTACGGGGTCGGCGAACTCAAATCCTACAAGGGCATCGCCGAAGGCGTCGAGAACTCCAACTTCCTCGTCCACGCCGGCGACGACACTTTCATCCTCACGCTGTACGAGAAGCGCGTCGATCCCGCCGACCTGCCGTTCTTTCTGGGGTTGATGGAGCATCTGGCAACGCACGACATTTCCTGCCCGCTGCCGGTCAAGCGCGGCGACGGCACCGTTCTGGGCGAACTGGCCGGCCGGCCAGCCGCCATGGTGACGTTTCTGGAAGGTGTCTGGATGCGACGTCCGTCCGCGACCCATTGCGCCGGCGTCGGCACGGGTATGGCGCGAATGCATCTGGCCGGCGCGGATTTCGCCATGCAGCGGCGCAACGGCCTGACCGTCGAGGACTGGCGCCCGCTCTGGCAGCAGTGCCTCAAGGCCCATCCGGGCATGGAACGCGATCTCGCCCAGGAGACCGAAGCCCTGCTGGCCACGCTGGAGGAGCAATGGCCGCGCGACCTGCCGCAGGGCACGATCCATGCGGATCTGTTTCCCGACAATGTGTTTTTTCTGGGCGACGAACTGTCCGGCTTCATCGACTTCTATTTCGCCTGCACCGACGCGCTTGCCTATGATGTCGCGGTCGCCCTCAATGCCTGGTGCTTCGAGCGCGACCATTCCTACAACATCACCAAGGGCAAGGCGCTGCTTGACGCCTATGACCGCGTCAGGCCGCTGACCGATCCGGAGATCGAAGCGCTGCCCGTGCTCGCCGCCGGCGCCTCCCTGCGCTTCATGCTCACCCGCCTTTATGATTGGGTGACGACGCCGGAAGGCTCGCTTGTGGTCAAGAAGGACCCGCAGGAATACATACGCAAGATGCGGTTCCATCGGACCATCGGCTCGGCACGCGAATACGGTCTTGATCTGCACGCCCGCAAAAGTGCGTAAGCAATGACTGACGCAAAGCGTATCACCATCCACACCGATGGCGCCTGCTCGGGCAATCCGGGGCCGGGCGGCTGGGGCGCAATCCTCGAATGGAACGGCAGCCGCAAGGAGCTGTCGGGCGGTGAGGCGCGGACCACCAACAACCGCATGGAACTGATGGCTGCGATCGAGGCGCTCGGCGCGCTCAAGGGCGGCCCGCATGCCGTCGATCTCTATACCGATTCCTCCTACGTCAAGGATGGCATCTCGGGATGGATCCATGGCTGGAAGAGAAATGGCTGGAAGACGGCCGCCAAGAAGCCGGTCAAGAACGCCGAACTGTGGCAGGCGCTCGATGCGGCAACCCAGCGCCATGATGTAACCTGGCATTGGCTCAAGGGCCATGCCGGCCACGAAGAGAACGAACGCGCGGACGAGTTGGCCCGCGGCGCCATGGCGCCTTTCAAGAAGAGCGTTGGCGAAAAAGGGCAGGGAGGCGACATTGACGAACGGCAATGACGGGCATGGGACGCCGGCGCAGCGCTATGCGGCCTACGCCGTCATCGGCGCGGTGATCGGTGCGGTCGTGGTGTGGTTTGTCGCCGATGCGGTCTCGTTCGCCACGCTCGGCTCGGGCCTGATCGGGGGCGCGGTGGCCGGCACTGTCGCCGGCTTTGTCCGGTCCCGCGCGGGGCTCGACCAATGAGCGTTGGCTGGTTGTCAGCCTAGCCGAGCTGACCCAGCATCGCCGCCGCACCGGACTTCTCCGCTTCGCCGGGACTGTCTTCGACGTTCAGGCTGGTCACCGTTCCGTCCTTGACCAGCATCGAGTAGCGCTTCGAGCGAACGCCGAGACCGGCGACCGAAAGGTCGATGTCCATGCCGATCGCCTTGGTGAAGGCGCCGTCCCAATCGGCCAGGAACCGGATCTTGCCCATTCCGCCGGTCTGCTCGGCCCAGGCGGCCATGACAAACGGATCGTTGATCGCCAGAACCGCGATTTCATCGACACCCTTTGCGAGGATTTCGTCGCGATTGTCGAGATAGCCCGGCAGGTGGGTCAGCGTGCACGTCCCCGTGAACGCGCCGGGCACTGCGAACAGGACGACCGTCTTGCCATCGAAGATCGAGGCGCTGTCGATATCGGCCGGTCCGTCCTCGGTGATTGTCTTGAGCGTCATCGCGGGCAGTTTCGCGCCGGTTTCGATCGTCATCGGGTCATCCCTTCCCAACAGGTTGTATCATCAGCGACATAAGCGCCTTGGCGCGGAGGAAAAGACCGCATCCCAAAGAAATTCCGGCTCGGCGGTGTCCGCCATCACCCGTCAGCCAAGTTCCAGTGAAACGCGCGTTTCGATGCGGACGCTGCCGCCATCGACCGTGACGATCGCATCGACGGTTCGCGGTGCTTCCGGCGCATTGACCGGCTCAATCGCGAAGACCGTCTTGCCATTTTCGGACGACAGGATTTCGGGCGGCTTGAACTGCGTGCCATCGGGCGCGTGAACGAAAAGTTGCGGGATCGTGTCGGGGTCGGCCATGTTGACGACGGTCACGCGCGCCCGTCCATCCTCCATATGTCCGTTTGGCGCGACGGTCAGGCCCGCGGCTTCCGGCGGCGGCAGCGCCGCATGGGCCTGTTCAACCCGCATCGCCGCCAGGGTGCTGCCGGTGGCGTGGCCGATCGACATCGAGAACCGTGTCTGGACCGGTATGCAGATGTCCTCACAAATTCCCAGAAAGACGTTTGCGACAAGTTCCGCCTCGCCATTGGCCGTGCGCGCCATGGTGAAGGGCAGGGAGACCGGCCGGTCATAGCCGGCAAAGTCCCCGTAGGGATTGTTGATCCAGACCGGTACCGGATAGTGCAGTTCGGCGTCCGCCACGCCCTTGCTGCCGGCGAGGTCGATCTGCGGGGGAATGCCCGATGCGCCCGGATCGCGCCAATAGGTCTTCCAGCCTTCTTCAAGGCGGACTTCCAGCATTCCGCGGATTTCCGTATCGGTCGGGTCCGGCGGCGCGACGACGACCCGCACCGCGCCACCGACCGTTTCATACCACTCGGTCGATTGTGCGGCGCTGTCCCGGCCCGCCATCGCGATCAGGGTGATGGTGGCCGCCACTATCGCCGGAATGGGTCGTTCGATCGCAAGCATGGCGCCGGTATGGCCGTGCCGCGCCGGCCGATCAAGCAGCGCTGCCACGTCGCCCGTCATAAGTTCGTGATCGCACCGGCGCTGCCGTGGTGGCGGGAAGTGGCGGACAATTGCACCCGGAAGGGCTTCTCATTTGGCCGGTGCCTGTTACGCTGATGCCATGGAGACGCTCAGAAAGCGCGGCATCGGCAGCGGAAATGGCCAGTTCGAGGGCCGTTTCCTTGTGGCGATGCCCGGCATGAATGCCTCGATCTTCGCCGAATCGGTGGTGTATCTGTGCGCCCACAGCGATGAGGGCGCCATGGGCTTTGTGCTCAACAAGCCCGCCGACATGACGCTCGCCGAACTGATCGGCCACACCGAATTCGGCAAGACGACCGTGCTCGACAAAGCGCAGATCAACGATGCCGCAGGCCCGGTACGGATCGGCGGTCCGGTCGATGAGCATCGCGGGTTCGTCCTGCATTCACACGATTATGCGATCGATACGACGATCCCGCTGTCCGACGCCATCTGCCTGACGTCGACGGTCGACATCCTCAAATCGATCGTCGCCGGCGCCGGTCCCGCGCAGGCGGCGATCGCGCTGGGCTATGCGGGCTGGGGCGCCGGGCAACTCGAGCAGGAAATCCGCGACAATGCCTGGCTGACTGCAGACGCCGATCCCGACATCGTGTTCGCGCACGACCATGACGACAAATATCCCGCCATGATCAGTCGCATGGGCATCGGCGCCGCAAACTTCATCCCCGAGGGCGGCCGGGCCTGAACACTACTCCGCCGCCTGTTCCTCGCGGGCCACGATCGGGTTGCGCTGCGCGATCAGGGTGGCGGCATCTTCCGGCGTGAGCGGCTGGCCGGTGATGAAGCCCTGCAGATAGTCCGCACCCATCTCCGCCAGGACCGACCGGTCATCCTCGTCCTCGACCCCCTCGGCGACGACCGAAAGTCCGAGCGCATGGGCCATGTCGATGATCGATCGCAGCAGCGCATCGCGTCCCGATGAAATGGGCCGCATGAACGATCGGTCGATCTTCAGGACATCGAACGGAAAGCGCGACAGGTAGGACAGCGACGAATAGCCGGTTCCGAAATCGTCGAGCGCCAGCTTGACGCCCAGCGCCTTGACCCGCTCCAGAACCCGCACATTCTGCTCGGGGTTCTGCATCAGCGAGGTCTCGGTGATCTCGATGCGCAATGTGTGCGTGCGCTGGGGATGGCGCGCCAGAATGCCTGAGACGAGATTGGTGAAGTCGCGCCGCACCAGTTGCTGCGCCGACACGTTGACCGACACGAAGACGGGCATCTCGGGCAGCGCGGTCTCCCACTCCATCAACTGCGCGGCGGCCATCTCCAGCGCATGGGCACCCAGCTCGCCGATCAGCTCGGACCGTTCGGCGATCGCAATGAACTCGGTCGGCGGAACATCGCCGCGCCTGGGATGATGCCAGCGCATCAGTGCCTCGAAGCCGGCAATGTCGCCGGTCTTGGCGGCGATGATCGGCTGATAGACAAGCGAAATCTGGTCGCGCTCGATGGCCCGGTGCAGATCGGCCTCGATCTGGACGATGTTGGAACCGCCGTCACGGAAGGCGGGGCGGAACGGTTCGACCCGGTCGCCGCCGAAGCGCTTGGCCTGGTGCAGCGCCAGTTCGGTGTCCTTGAACAGTTCCTCGCCGCGTTTGCATTCGGGCGACCATGTCGCGAGCCCGACCGACGGCGTCAGCACGATCTCGCGCTCGGCGAAGCTGATCGGCGTCTTGATGGTCTTCTTGACCGCTTCGGCGAAGGCGGCGATGCCGCCGGGCTCGGATTCGGAGACCAGAACGATCCCGAACTGGTCGCCGCCGATCCGCGCCAGCGTGTCCTGCGGGCGCAACTGCCGCTTCAGCCGCCGGGCCACGGTGATCAGCAGCGTGTCGCCGGCATTGATGCCGACGCTTTCGTTGACCTCCTTGAACCGGTCGATGTCCACGATGAAGACCGTCGGTCGGACGGGTCCGTCGGGTGCAGCAAGTGCCACCGCCGTGCGGATCCGGTCGAAGAACAGTTCGCGGTTCGGAAGCCCGGTCAGATTGTCGTGGACTGCGTCGTGCAGAAGGCGTTCCTCGGCGCGCTTTTGCGCGCTGACATCGGTAGCGGTGCCGATGCAGCGAATGACCGATCCGTCCGCGCCGATCACCGGGCGCGCGGAGACCGCATACCAGGCGTGCTGGGTTTCACCGGTGCGCATGCGCAGGACCAGATCGATCTTGCCGCGCCGGCGTTCGACAACGGCATCCAGAGCCGCCCGGAAGGTCTCCCGGTCGTCGGGGTGGACGTGTTTGAGCCAGTTCTTGGCCGGCCCCTGCAAGGCGGTCGGGCCGAGACCGAGCAGCACGCCCAGATTGGGCGTCGTCGTCAGCCGGTCGCGGCCCACATCCCAATCCCAGACGATGCCGCCCGAGCCGGTGACGGCCAGCGCCTGCAATTCGACATTGGAGAACAGGTTCTCGTGGAACGCGCCGCCCGAAAAGGCGCTTTGCAGAATGGTGAAGCCGATCAGCAGGACGACCAGCACCAGACCGCCTGCGAGCGCTGGCTGGATGATGTCATTGTCGACCTGACCGGTGATCGTCATCCATCCTGCTGCCACCCATGCAAGCAGCAGCGCCCAGGCCGGAATCAGCATGATCGCCTTGTCGAAGCCGCGCAGGCTCAAGATGATGATCAGCGCCAGGCCGAATGCCGCAGTCGCCGCAAGCGCGATCCGCGCGACGCCTGCGGCAACAGAGGGATCGTAGGTGACCAGCGCGCCCAGAACGACGATGCCGAGCAGCCAGAAAAGCGCGCCCCAGCGCATCCGGTCGCTCCACCGGTCAAGGCTCAGATGGGTGAACAGAAACAGCCCCAGCGTCGCCACGACGGCGATCTCCGACGTCGCGCGCCAGGTGCGTATCGCCGCCGTGTCGAGGACGCCGAACTGGCTGATGAAGCCGAAATCGATGGATACATAGGCGAGCACCGACCAGGCGAGGGCCGCTGCTGCCGGGAATGTTGCGGTGCCGCGCACGACGAACAGGATCGACAGGAACAGCGCCAAAAGGCCCGCGATGCCCAGAACGATGCCATGGTAGAGCGTGTAGGAATTGACGATGTCCTTGTAGGCGTCTTCTTCCCAAAGATAGAGCTGCGGCAGGGTGGGCGAGGCCAGTTCGGCAACCAGCGTGATCACCGCGCCCGGATCGAGCGTGATCGCGAAGATGTCCGCATGCGGATCGTCGATCCGGTCGAGCGAAAAACCCGAACTGGGCGTCAAGGCAACGATGCGCTGCGCCCCCAGATCGGGCCAGAAAAGGCCGGAACTGACCAGTCGGAACCGCGGCGCCACCAGAAGCCGGTCGAGTTGCACGTCGCTGGTGTTGGTGAGCACCAGCACGGCCCAGTCGCCCGCCGTGTCCGCGTTGGAGGCCTGGACCTCGATGGTCCGCACGATGCCCTCCGCGTCCGGTGCCGTCGAAACGCGGAACGCGTTGCCGCGGTCGCGATAGATCGTCACCGCGCCGGTCAGGTCGAGCGCGGTGTCGTCGCGGCCGATCGAGATCGGCTCGTTGGACTGGGCATGCGCCGGCATGGCGGCCAGCAGCACGGCCAGGACGGCCATCAGCAGAAGCGTTGCCAGCACGCCAAACGACCGGGCCGGTCGGCGGGAAGAAAAGTCGATGGGCAAGTGCAAATGCACCTCAGATATCCGTCCGGTCGAGGCGCGCCGCGTCCAGATGCATCGGGTTGATGCGCGCGTAAAGGACATGGTCGCGCCAGCGGCCGTTGATTTTAAGATAGGCGCGCAGCACGCCTTCGCGTTGAAATCCGTTCTTCTCCAGAAGCCGGATCGACTTGCTGTTGCCCGGAATGCAGGCAGCTTCAAGGCGATGCAGCCCGGTTCGCGCAAACGCATATTCGCACACCAGCGCCACCGCTTCGCTCATGAAGCCACGGCCGGCGAACTTTTCGCCGATCCAGTATCCGATCTGGCCGTTCTGCGCGACACCGCGGCGGATGTTTCCCAAAGTAATGCCGCCCAGCAGCGCCTCGTCGCTGTTGCGCACGACGAAGAAGGGAAAGCCCGTGCCGGCGCGTATCTCGCCGGCATAGCGGCGCAGCCGCGCGCGGAAGGCGGGCCGCGTCAGGTCGCCGCGCGGCCAGACCGGCTCCCAGGGCTGCAGGAACTGCGCGCTTTCGGCCCGCAGGGCTGCCCATTGCTCATGATCGGCAAGTTCGGGATGGCGCAGATGCACGGTCCGGCCTTCCATCACCGCGCCGGATGTGCCCCGGCTCGAAAATGCGAACATCGGCCTCCTCCGTTGCCCCGTCTGTGCAGTCAGCCGACCGCCGCGCGCCGATGTTGCGCCGTGCCCTGTTGCGGCGCGCCCGCGGCCAGCCTTGCGCGAATGTCGTCCATGTCCATCAGCGTATCGACCGGCCCCACGGCCGAAACGGTGGGCGCCGATTCAACGAAGATGCGGCCGGCCAGATCGCGCAGGCGCGCCACGGTGAGGTTGTCGAGCCGCAGCAGAAGTTCCTCATTGGGGATCGGACGGCCGAACAGCAGGATCTGCCGCGCGATCTGTCCGGCGCGGCTCGGCGCGCTCTCACCCGACATCAAAAGGCTGGCGCGGAACTGCGCCCGCGCACGGTCCAGTTCGCTCTGTTCGATGTCGAAGGCCGCGCGCGACAATTCGCCGATGATCAGTTCGAGGAGCTTGGGCAGGTCGCCCGGCTCGGTGGCCGCATGGACGCCGAAAATCCCGGTGTCGGAAAAGCCCCAATGAAATGCATAGATCGAATAGCAAAGCCCGTGCTTTTCGCGCACTTCCTGAAACAGGCGCGAGGACATGGCCCCGCCCAGCAGCATTGCCAACACCTGGCTGCAATAATAGTCGCGCACATGATAGGCGCGCCCCTCGAAACCGAGCACAAGCTGCGTGTCCTGAAGGGCGCGCTGCTCGCGATAGTCGCCGCCCACATAATGCGCCAGGCCAAGCTCGCGGCCCTCGGCCGAGGGCTTCATGGTCGAAAAGCGCTGTTCGGCCATCCGGACGATCTCGTCATGGTCGACGGCACCGGTCGCCGCAATCACCATGCGTTCGCCGCTATATTCGCGATCGACATAGGCACGGATCATGTCCGAGGTGAAAGATGCGATGGTGTCCCGCGTACCAAGGATCGAGCGACCGACCGGCTGGTGACGGAAGGCGGTTTCGGTGAACCTGTCGAAGACGACATCATCGGGCGTGTCGGTCGCCGCGCCCAGTTCCTGCAGGACGACATGCTTTTCGCGTTCCAGTTCGTCCGCGTCAAAGCGGGAGTTCTGCAGGATGTCGGCCAGTACGTCGATCGCCAGCGCCGTGTCCTGACGCAAGACGCGCACGAAGAAGGAGGTTGTCTCGACGCTGGTCGCCGCATTGATGTCGCCGCCGACATTTTCGATGGCTTCGGCCAGGTCGCGCGCGCTGCGCGTCGCCGTGCCCTTGAAGGCCATGTGCTCGAGCATGTGGGCGATGCCGTGCTCATGGTCCTGTTCGTTGCGGGTGCCGGCCTTGAACCATGCGCCCACCGAGACGCTCTCGACATTGTCGAACCGTTGCGTGGCAACGGTGATCCCGTTCTTCAGGACGGTTGTCTGGACTGTCATGTACGCGCGCACTCCCGGGGGCCTTGTTGTCTTATCCGGCCCCGACACTTCCTCCGGCGGCCCGGGTGCGGGCCGAAATGTAATCTTCCACCATTTTGAGATCAGATGGAAGTGGCGCGAACCGCTCGCGCCGCCCCATCAGATCGCCCAGCCATGCGGGCAGTTCCGGCCGGATTCCGGCGGCATCTTCCACTGCGTCGGGGAACTTGGCCGGATGGGCCGTCGCCAGCACGATCATCGGCGTTTCGGCCCTGGCGCGGGCCCGCGCAACATGGGTGGCCACTGCCGTGTGCGGGTCGAGCAGATAGCCCGAGGCATCCAGAACATGGGAAATGGTCCGCCCGGCCTCGGTGGTGTCGGCCCGGCCGGCGGCAAAGTCCGTTGCGATCGCCCCATGCACCGCATCGCCGAGCGCGAACTCCCGCGACTGTATGAGCGTTTCCATCGCGCGGCGCACATAGGCCGCATCGCGTCCCGAGGCTTCGAACAGCAGCCGCTCGAAGTTCGACGATATCTGGATGTCCATCGAAGGCGATGTGGTCTGGACCACATCGCGCATCTCGTATGTGCCGGTGTCGAGCGCGCGGGCGAGAATGTCGTTGTCGTTGGTCGCGATGACCAGCCTGTCGATCGGCAGGCCCATGCGCTTGGCGGCGTAACCGGCGAAGATGTCGCCGAAATTGCCCGTCGGCACGGTGAACGAGACCGGCCTGTCGGGCGCGCCCAGCGAAACCGCCGACGTGAAATAATAGACGATCTGGGCCATGATCCGCGCCCAGTTGATCGAGTTGACGCCCGACAGCCGAACCGCGTCGCGGAAGGCACCGTGGTTGAACATCGCCTTGACGAGATTCTGGCAGTCGTCGAAATTGCCGTCGATCGCCAATGCATGCACGTTGGCGGCATCCGAGCCCGTCATCTGGCGCTGCTGGACCGGCGACACCCGCCCCTCGGGGAAGAGGATGAAGATGTCTGTCCGGTCGCGGCCGGCAAAGGCGTCGATCGCCGCCCCGCCCGTATCGCCCGATGTAGCGCCGACGATCGTCGCCCGCTGGTCCCGTTCGGCCAGCACATGGTCCATCAGCCGGCTGAGAAGCTGCATGGCCACGTCCTTGAACGCCAGCGTCGGACCGTGAAACAGCTCCAGCACGAATTCGTTGGCGCCGGTCTGGACAAGGGGGCAGACCGCTTCGTGCCGGAAGGTCCCATAGGCTTCGGCGACGATGGCCTCGAAGGTTTCCCGCTCGATCTCGCCCTCGACAAACGGCCACATCACCGTGACCGCGGTTTGCGCGAACGATTTGCCGCGCAGCTCCCTGATCGCATCGGGAGACCAGTGCGGCCAGCTTTCGGGCAGGTAGAGCCCGCCATCGGCGGCAAGCCCCGTCAGGACCGCGTCGCGAAAACCCAGATGCGGCGCCTCGCCGCGTGTCGAGATGAATTTCACGGTGCTGTTGCCCTCATCGATGCGCTTTGGCGGCGGTTTGTGTCCGCCCGTCAGCCATTGCACAAAATGCGCGCGAGCCTTATCGGAAATCCGACGGGATCGGAACCCCCGCGGCGACGCGCATCCGCCGCATGGTTGACACGATGTCCCACTAGCCGAATGGTGCGCGCCGCGAGCGCCGACCGCAGGAATTGGAGAGCGAAGATAATGGTGATGGGTATCGGAACATGCAGGGCAGGGCTCGATGGCAAAAGCGCTGTCCGGACGATCCGGTCGCTGGCCGCCATTGGTATGCTGGCCGCGCTGGCCGCCTGCCAGTCGGGCGGCCCGAGCGAAGTGCTCGACGTTTCCAGCAATGACGAGGCCTTCACCGAGGCGGACCTGCGCGCCTATTGTCCGCGCGTGACGCTGCTTGAGGGCACCGCCTATCTGCGCACCTACACAGACGGCAATGAGGGCAATCCCGACGAAGTCGTCCATCAGGCTGTGATCTCGGACGTGACGCGCACCTGCCGCTATCGCAACGGGCAGCTCTTCATGACCGTCGCCGCCGCCGGCCGCGTGGTCAACGGGCCCAAGGGCGCGCCGGGTTCGCTGAACCTGCCCGTGCGTGTTGCCATCCGCGCCGGCGAGAACCTGCCCTATTCGCAGCTTGGCCGCATCGACGTGGCGATGGGCGGCGGAGCGACGCAGTTCATCTTCCGGGACGACCAGATCGTCTTGCCCGAGCCGGAAACCCGCAATCTTCAGGTCATTGTCGGCTTTGACGAGGGTCCCTACGACACACCGTGAGCCGCAGGGCGGCTTTGGCTGCCAACCTTCGGTTAACCATGGTCCTTGACGCGATGTTTACCCTGAGCGGTAACCATGGCGCCCGTTGCTGTTTCTTGAGATCGGGTGCTTCATGTCTCGCGTACACCTGGCCCCTTCGGCCGCCCGCAAGGGCGTCCGTTCCGCCAAGCCGGCCCTTCCCCTGGACGTCATCCTCAAGGGCGATTGCGTCGCCGCGATGGAACAACTGCCCGAAAAATCGGTCGACATGATCTTCGCCGATCCGCCCTACAATCTGCAGCTCGAGGGCGCGCTGCACCGGCCCGACCAGTCCAAGGTCGATGCTTGCGACGATCATTGGGACCAGTTCGGCTCGTTCGCCCATTACGACGCCTTCACCCGCGCCTGGCTTCTGGCCGCGCGCCGTGTGCTCAAGCCGAACGGCACGATCTGGGTGATCGGCTCCTACCACAACATCTTCCGCGTCGGCGCCAGCCTGCAGGATCTGGGCTACTGGATCCTCAACGATGTCGTCTGGCGCAAGACCAACCCGATGCCGAACTTTCGCGGCCGCCGCTTCCAGAACGCGCATGAGACGATGATCTGGGCGAGCCGCGACCAGAAGGCCAAGGGCTACACCTTCAACTATGAGTCCATGAAGGCGGCCAATGACGACGTCCAGATGCGGTCGGACTGGCTGTTTCCCATTTGCAATGGCGGCGAACGTCTCAAGGACGAGGACGGTGCCAAGGTGCATCCGACGCAAAAGCCCGAGGCGCTGCTGGCCCGCGTGCTGATGTCCGCGTCAAAGCCCGGCGATGTCGTGCTCGATCCCTTTTTTGGCACGGGCACGACTGGCGCAGTTGCCAGGCGGTTGGGCCGCCATTTCATCGGCATCGAGCGCGAGCAGGCCTATATCGATGCGGCGACTGCGCGTATCGATGCGGTCGAACCCCATGACGGCAAGAGCCTGACGCTTGTTGCCGGCAAGCGGGCGCAGCCCCGCGTCGCCTTCCTTTCGCTGATCGAAGCGGGCCTTTTGGAACCGGGCACCGAGCTGACCGACCCGAAACGCCGCTGGACGGCCACGGTTCAGGCCGACGGTTCGCTGTGCGAAGGCGGCGAGCAGGCCTCGATCCACCGCACCGGCGCACGGGTCCAGGGGCTCGACGCCTGCAATGGCTGGACCTTCTGGCACTTCGACGATGCCGGTACCCTCAAGCCCATCGACGCGCTGCGCCAGATCGTTCGCGACCGCATGGCTGCCGCCGGCGGCTGACTTTCGGCAACTGACCTCCAGTTCAATCAGGCCGAAACCCGAAGCGCTGCAGGTCTTCCCGCAGCGCTTCGGCGCTTGTGAAGTGCACGGCGTGCCATCCGAATGCGCGCGCCGCCTCGACGTTCTGTTCGCTGTCGTCGATGAACAGCGTTGCCGCAGGATCGAGATCGAACGTGTCGGTGTGCAGCGCATAGATCGCCGGGTCGGGCTTGATGAGCTGAACTCGCCCGGAGACCGTCACGCCGCGCCCCGATTTCAGGAACGGGTACAGGGTCTGCGCCTCGGCGAACGTGTCGGCTGCGAAGTTGGTCAGGAAGGTGATATCGGTTCCGACCTCGATCAGTTCGACCAGGATGGCAACGCTGCCATCGTAGGCATGCGGCACCATCTCGCGCCAATTCTGCCGGAAGGCGCGGATTTCGCGCGCCCAGTCCGGGTGTGCGGCGATCAGTTCGGCCTCGGCATCGGCCCATGACCGGCCGCGATCCTGTTCGATGTTCCAGGCCGGCGTGCAGACATTGGCCAGAAACCAGCGGCGCTTTTCGTCGTCCGGGATGATGCGCTTGAACGGCAGTCCCGGATCGTAATGGATCAGCACCTTGCCGATGTCGAAGACGATGTGTCGAATGGTATGCATGGCGGCGGGTCCCCTCAAAACGCGTCCGGTAAAGCACACGCGATCGCTTTTTTCATGACGGTGGGCAGCGCTTCGCCGGCAAGTTCGGAAGCTGGCGACCACCATTGCCCGTCGCTGGCCCTGTGGTTCGACAGGGCGTGCCAGACTGTCAGATCGAGCGCGAAATGGGTGAAGACATGCCGCACCTGCCCGCATCGGCGCCATTCGGTGCCAGCGACCGGCGCGGCGTCAGAACCGGTTTCGCCGTCGTGGCGCGCGTTCCATCCGGTCGTTGGCACCTGCGTCATGCCGGCCAGAAGCCCGGTTCCGGCCCGCTTTTCCAGCAGCACCGCACCGTCGTCGCGCACCAGGACGAAGGCCGCACCGACACGCAGCGGCTTGTCCTTTTTGGGCGCCTTGACGGGGAAACGTTCCGGGTCGCCCTGATCGAGAGCGGCGCATTCCGACCGCAGCGGACATGGCAGACATGCCGGCCGCTTGGGCGTGCAGATCGTGGCGCCCAGATCCATCGTCGCCTGCGCGAAATCGCCCGGTCGTTCGGGATCGAGCATCGCCGCCACCTCGGCCTTGATGGCCGGCTTGGCCTTGGTCAGCGGCGTGTCAATCGCTTTGAGGCGCGTGACCACGCGTTCCACATTGCCGTCGACCACGGCGGCCGGAAGGTCGAAGGCGATGGCCGCAATTGCCGCCGACGTGTAGTCGCCGATGCCGGGCAAGGCGCGCAATGCGTCGAGATCGGCGGGGAACGCGCCGCCATGGTCGGCCATGATTGCGTCGGCGCATTTCTTCAGGTTGCGCGCCCGCGAATAATAGCCGAGCCCGGCCCAGGCCTTGAGAATGTCTTCCTCGTCCGCCGCCGCAAGCGCGGCGATCGTCGGCCACCGGGCGGTGAAGGCGTAAAAATAGCTTCGTACCGCCGCGACGGTCGTCTGCTGCAGCATGATCTCCGACAGCCAGACCCGGTATGGGTCTGGACGGATACCTTTTGTTCGGTCGCGCGGGCTCACCCGCCAGGGCAGGTCACGAGCGTGATTGTCGTACCAGGCAAGCAGCTTTTTGGCGGGAGCGGAATCGCGGGACGGCATGGCCGCACATAGGCTGCCGTCCACAACAAGGGCAAGATCGATCCTGCATGCTTCAAGCGCGCGGGCAGACCTGATAACGTCGCGCCATGGCCAAATCCGCAGCCAATTTCGTCAACGCCGTCCTCGACCCGGTACTTGCCAAGCGCGCCGGCCTGTCGCTCGCGCTCATCGATGCCTGGCCCGAAATCGCGGGTGCGCAGATCGCCGAGACGTCCTGCCCGCTCAAAATCGACTGGCCGCGCCGACGCCATGAGGATGATGCGTTCGAGCCCGGCGTTCTCGTGGTGGCGGCCGAGGCCATGGCCGCGCTTCACATCCAGCACCAGACCGGCGAGATCGTGGGGCGCATCAACGCCTTCATGGGGTTCGACGCGATTTGCCGGGTGAGGCTCGTGCAAAAGCAACTGGCCGAACCGCCCAAGCCCCGCCGCAAGGCGCGGCCGCTGACCGCCGATGAGGCCGAACGCATCGAACGCATGGCGCAGGGCTTTGACGATGAAGGGCTGCGCGATGCGGTGCGCCGGCTGGGATGCAGCGTCCTGTCGGAAAAGTCCGGCACCTAGGCGCGACAGTTCGCACCGATGACAGTGCGGCGCGGCGCACTATCTCGGCATTATGGCTATCATCGATCAGACATCGGGTATTGAAGCGTCGGCCCCCATGCCGGCCATCGACGTTTTCTATGACGGCGGGTGTCCCGTCTGCCGCATCGAAGTCGGCTACTACAGCCAGACCGACCGGGCGGGCGCGGTGCGCTGGATCGACATCGAGTCGTTGACCGATGCGGAATTGCCGGCAGGCAAGACGCGCGACGCGCTGCTCGGGCGGTTTCACGTGCGCGACCTGGCCGACGGACGTTGGCATGTCGGGGTCGATGGCTTTGCGCGCATCTGGCGCGTTTTGCCGGTCTGGCGGCGCTTTGCGTTCGTGTTTTCGGTTCCCGGGCTTCGCCAACTGGCCGAAATCGGCTATCGCGGTTTCCTGCGCTGGCAGCGTTGGCATCGGGCCCGCCGCGCAATTTGAGGAGGCACCGTGGCCAAAGACGCCCCCCGACCCTTCTGGGAGACCAAGACGCTCACGGAGATGACGGCGCGGGAATGGGAAAGCCTGTGCGACGGGTGCGGCAAATGCTGCATGTCCAAGCTGATCGACGAGGACACCGACGAGATCCTCTACACGACGGTTGCCTGCGGGCTGTTCGACGCCGCCTCGTGCCGCTGCACGGACTATGAGAACCGGCAGGCAAAGGTGGCGGACTGCGTGCGCCTGACGCCCGACAATGTCGGCGAGATCGTCTGGCTTCCGGGCACCTGCGCCTATCGGCTGGTGGCGGAGGGCCGGCCTCTCTACGACTGGCACCCGCTTGTCTCGGGCGATCCGATGAGCGTGCACGAGGCGGGCATCTCCGTTTTCGGCCGGGTGACGGCCCGAGAGCAGGACATGGCCCATGATGGCGAATATCTTGACCATCTGGTCGGCGGGGAACTGTGAGTTTGGCCGTTGCGTTTCGGCTGTGGGCCGATAGGTTCGGCCTGCATAGACAATTGCGGGGGCAGCTTTGAGCCAGAACGAGACACGGGCGCTGATCGAGCGCTACTTCGACGCTTTCAACGCCAGCGACTATGAGGCCATGGCCGGTCTGCTGCACGAGGATGTCGCCCACGACATCAATCTGGGTGGCCGCGAGATCGGCCGCGATGCGTTCCGCCGCTTCAACGCGATGATGTCGCGGCATTACCGCGAGACGCTGCGCGACATCGAGATCATGGTCTCCGAAAGCGGCGTGCGCGCCGCCGCCGAATTCACCGTCGACGGCACCTATGTTGCCACTGCCGACGGTCTTCCGCCGGCCAGCGGCCAAGGCTATTCGTTGCCGGCCGGCATCTTCTTCGAGGTCGACGATGGCCGCATCAGCCGCGTGACGACCTACTACAATCACAAGGACTGGATCGCGCAGGTTTCATGACGGATCGGGCGAAGGTCCGTCCGCTGGCGCGGAACGAGATCGCATCGCGTCTGGACGATCTGGCGCGGTTGCGGATCACCGTCTTCCGCGCCTTTCCTTACCTTTATGATGGCGACATGGATTATGAGCGCCGCTACCTCGCCACCTATCTCGAGGCAGATGGCGCCTTCGTTGCCGGCGCATTCGACGGCGACGAACTGGTCGGCGCCGCAACGGCGGCACCGCTCGGCGAGCACAAGGCCGAATTCGCCGAACCGTTTGCCGCGCGCGGGCTCGATCCGGACGATTTCTTCTATTTCGGCGAATCGGTCCTTCTGGCCGATTATCGCGGCCAGGGCGTCGGCGTCGGGTTTTTCGATCTGCGCGAGGCGGAAGCGCGGCGGCAGGTCTTCACACAGTGCCTGTTCTCGGCAGTCGTCCGCCCGGCGAACCATCCGCTGCGTCCGGCCGGTTACGTACCGCTCGATGCGTTTTGGCGGAAACGCGGCTATCAGCCACTCGACGGCCTGTCCACATCCTACGCCTGGAAGGACATTGGCGAGACCGCCGAAACCGAAAAGCCGATGGAATATTGGGTCAAGGCGCTTGCCTGATTCACGCAGATGTGTGTTTGCGTCAGAAGATGCGATTTGAACGTGATCGGCCGCTCTGACACCGTGTTGGCAACTTTAGGTTCAACCGATGGAGATCGCCATGACCCGCCATATCGTTCGCGGCAAGGTCAAGACCGCAACCGCCAATCTGGACCGTCGCGCGTTTCTGGCGCTCGGCACCGGCGCAGTCGCAGCCGCGCTGATCGCGGGGTCTGCCCGCAAGGCCTTGGCCGGCAAGGTCAATCTGGACGGCGGCGCCGCGATCCTGGGGCATGACCCGGTCGCCTATTTCACGCAAGGCGCGGCGGTGATGGGCGATCCCTCCATCACCGCGACCCATGAGGGCGCGACTTACCGGTTCGCCTCAGCCGAAAACCGCGACGCCTTTGCCGCCGATCCCGACCGCTACGCACCGCAATATGGCGGTTTCTGCGCCTATGCGGTCGCCAACGGCTACACCGCCAAGATCGACCCCGAAGCCTTCACCGTGGTCGACGACAAGCTCTATCTGAACTTCTCCAAAGGCGTGCGCAGCCGGTGGGAGCGCGACGTTCCCGGCAACATCACCAAGGGCGACGCCAACTGGCCGGGCCTTTCGGCCGGCTGACGTTCTCGACGCGGCCTATTGGGCCAGTTCGAACGTCACATTGACGCTGACGCGGTAGGTGTTCTCACCCGCCGCGACCGGCACGGGCGCTGCGTCGGCCGCCATCTCCATCATCGCGGCGCGGGCAACCGGCATCGGCCTTGGCTCGGACGACTGCTCGGAGATCGACAGGATGCGGCCGAGCCCGATGCCGGCCGCTTCGGTCAGCGTCTCGGCCTTGCCCATCGCCGCTTTCATAGCCTTGGTCCGCGCCTCGGTGATGGCTGCGGACGGGTCGTCATTGGTGAAGCTGATGCCGCCGCCCTGATTGACGCCCAGCGTCACCGACTGGTCCAGAATGGCGCCGAGCCTGTCGAGATCGCGCACGCGCACGGTGAGCGAGTTCGAAACCTGATAGCCGACGATCCGCGGCGCCGGTCGGACGCCGTCCTTCGGCTCGGGATAGACGTAGCGCGGCTGGATGTTGAAGTTCGATGTCTGCAGGTCGCGCTCGGCGATGCCCTCGGCCTGCATGGCCGCCAGAACCTCGGCCATCGCTTCGGTGTTGGCGTCGAGCGCTTCGCGCGCCGTGTCCGCTTCGCGCAGAACCGTCAGCCCGATCACCGCCATGTCCGGCGCGATGTCCGCTGTTCCGGTGGCCGATACGGTGATTTGCGGCGTGATGTCGGTGTCGGCCGCGATTGCGTGCCCGGCGGCGGCGGTCAGCGCGGTTGCCGCGAACGCGGCGGCAATGGGTGAGGTGCGAATGGGTTTCAAAGCGATCATCCTTGAGCAGAGGTCCCGTCATCCCGGGCAATGGCCGACAAATGGGCAGACAATATGGTGTGCGCCCGTTTCTCCGACACCGCTTGCCCGGCTGGGACCTTTCGGATACGCACGGTCCGGGTGGGGCCTGTAGCTCAATTGGTTAGAGCCGGCGGCTCATAACCGCTTGGTTGGGGGTTCGAGTCCCTCCAGGCCCACCATTCTTCATTGATTTCAATGCCTTGAAAACAGGTTCGCCAAGGGTTCGCCACAAGGTTCGCCATCTGCGATGGCCGCGCGCGTCATTCATCGAGAAAGCCTGCGATCTTGTCCATCGCGTCGACGGCGAGAATCGCCTGTTCGGCGTCGCGCGAATAGAGTTCTGCATGCTCGATATCGTCATGGCCGAGGACATCCATCAGCTGGCGTGTGGATGCGCCCCCTTCGGCCAGTGCTTTCCCCAGGGTCTTGCGCAGTCCGTGCAGCGTGCAGCCCTTGGGCAGGCCGGCGCTGGCGGTCCAGTCCGCCATGCGGCCGGTCAACGACTTGGGGGAGAATGGCTTGCCATAGGCCGTCATCAACACCGTTTCGCCGGTGCGCGGCGCGGCTGCGAGCGCGGCGGTCAGCATGGTGCTTTCGGGGACGAACAGCGTCTTGCCGCGCCGTTTCTTCGGTGTCAGGACGAAGCCGGGCACGATGCGTTTTTCGCCGCGGATGGTCAGGGCACGCGTTTGCCGTTGCGACCATTGTAGGGCGGCGATGTCGCCGCGGCGATTGCCAAGCCAAAGCGCCAGGCAAAAGGCCATGTGGGGCGTCGTGCCGGCGGGCCATCGCCCGAGGAAGGCGCGCATTTCATCGGCGGTCCATGCGCGCCATCCGGCATGGTCCGGCTGCCAGCTGATCTTGTGCGTCGGGTCGATCTCGATCCAGTCCTGATCGAGCGCTT